CAGAAATCAGAGAAAAAACTAAAAAAGTCCCTAGAGTCAGATGAAAATGAAAATATAACCTATCCGAACATGTGGGCTCTGACGAAGGCACATCTGAGGGGCAAGTTTATAGCTTTGAATGTTATCGTTAGAAATCAAAAACCTCAAATAAATAACCTCAAGAAAAAAACAAGAAGCAGTAGATGGTAAGAAATAATGAAGAACAAGGCAGGTAAACCGAAGTAGAGACTAAAAGAACATTATAAAGTATCAACCAAGCAATGAATTCATTCTTTGAAAGAAAGAAACAGAAAACCTAAATGCTTCAACACTACATAAAGTACTATAGGCAACTAATAAATGTTGAGAGGAGAAGAAACATTCTTCCCCAAGGACAAGCACATCAACTAGTTACCTAATACAAAATAGTCAGCCCTGAAAACATACATACAAGTAACACTGTACATACTGAACAGGGATGTTTAGGAATATATATGTATATACATACATGCATGTAACAACAATTAATGAAAAAAGAGGTCATAAATTTGACAATAAGGAGGGCTTGGAGGGAAGAAAGGGAAGGAGGAAATGATGTAATTGTAATATGAAAAGTATAATAAAAAAACAGAATTTATCTCCCCCTAGTCAATCTAACTGAAACACACAGAGAAGAAAAAAAAAAAAAAACAGGTTAAAAGGGGAGGTAAAACTCAGGCATAGTGATGCAGATCTTTAATCCCAGCACTCAGAAGGGAGAAGCAGGTGGAGCCCCATGAGTTCAAGACTAGCCTGGTCTATATAATGAGTTCCAGGACAGCCAGAGCTACATAGTGAGACCCTGTACCAAAAACAACAACAGTAACAAAAAAAGAGAGAGAGTGACCAAAGCATTCAGTGAAATACAGATGGGGCACAATCACTGCATCACTTATATTTAATATTTTATAAACTTCTATTTTATAAAACTGGGAAATCTAGAAGCAGGTAAAATCCTAGACACATGAGGCCTGCCAAAATTAAACCAAGAGGATGCAAACACCTTAAACAGTTCTGCCACAATAAGATTGAAGCAATAATATTAGTAAGAAAGCTGAAAACTCACCCAGCAGAGAAAAGCCCAGGACCAGATAGGTTCGTTTTCAAATTCTATCAAACATTTAAAAACCAGCTACCGCCGGGTGTTGGTGACACACACCTTTAATCCCAGTACTTGGGAGGCAGATACACGCGGAACTCTGTGAGTTCGAGGCCATCCTGGTCTACAGAGTGAGTTCCAGGACAGCCTCCAAAACAATACAGAGAAACAATGTCTCGAAAAAAAACAAAACAAAACAAAAAAACAACGAGCTGCCATAAATGCTCATCAGACTGCATCAGGAATATTAGAAATTTACTCCATGAAGTCAATATTATCTTGATACTGAAACAACTAAAGACTAATTTCCCCATTGAAGATAGATGTGAGTATTCCAGGTAAAATTCTTGGATACCAGTTTGAACAGTACACTAAGACTGAACACAATGACTAAATGGTTTCATTCCAGGGATGCAAGTTTGGTTCAGTATGTCTCACTATTCACAAGAACTGGGAGATGGAGCCAGCCTGAAATCTGTTATATATAAGCAGATACAGACAATGTGCACACAACTAGTACAATTTTATGCAAATGTAAAGAAGAATGAAATCATGATATTTATAGAAAAGGAATACAATTGTAATTTACTATATTAAGCAAAACAAGCCAAATTTACACAAATACAAGTTTTCTATAACATGTGGAAATTGGACTTACAAAACATATTTGTATATGCATGCATGTGTGTGTGTGTGTGTGTGTGTGTGTGTGTGTGTGTGTCTGAGTAGGCCATAGAACTGAATAAAGGATCCTGAGAGGAGAGGAGGCGAGCTGAAAGGAGGAAGAAATGACAGAGTGCGGGAGTACTTGAAACAAGAGTGCAGAAGGGGACTAGGAGGAAGGAAGAGAAGTAGCTGTGGTGCCACAGGGGGCACCGATGGGCACAGGAGGGAAAGGGAACAAATGAGAACGCCACACAATAACTTATATATGAAGATACCATGAAGAAATCCTCTATTCTGTATGATAACAAAACATCCCATTGAACACAAGGTAAAAAAGCTCAGCAGACAAAAGCTCTTGCCACACAAGCCTGATGACCTGAGCTGGGTCCCTGAAACCCACAAAAGCATAGCTGTGGTGGTTCCCACCTGCAATCTCAGCCCCCTCCTGTGAGGTGGGAGAAAGAGACCAGAGAACTTCTGGAAGCTCAAGAGTCAGCTGACCCGGAGTAATTAACACAGCTGGGGAAAAAACAAAACCAAGCAAAACCCCAAGAGAGCATGGTGAGGTGGAACTGCTTTCATCCCATCACGGTGGGGGCAGAGGCGGGCAGATCACCGTGAGCTAGAGGCCAGCCTGATCTACATGAGTTCCAGGCTCAGGGCTACACACAGAGAGGTCTTTCTCAAAACAAGGAAACAAAAATCAAGAGAGAACCTGCTAAAAAGGAGGTGGCAGGGGAGGAAAGCCCTTGGAGTTGTCCTCTGACATCTACTGGTGTGCTCGGCACGTGTGTCCCCATACAGTGATAATAATAAAAGAAATACAACGTTAAATAATAACACATGACAAGAGAGGTGAAAAAATAGGATCTCCAAAATCTAAAAGACAATTCACAGTCCTTTAAAGGCTTTGCAGATTTCTGTCAAATCTGTATTCCTTTGTTTCTTTGTTTGTTTTTGCATTTTATTTTTTTAAGACAGAGTTTCCCTGAATTGCTTTGGAGCCTTTCCTGGAACTCGCTCTGTAGACCAGGCTGGCTTCACACTCACAGAGATCCACGGGCCTCTACCTCCTTAGTGGTGGGATTAAAGGCGTGCATCACCAACACCCAGTCAAATCTGTATCCATATACCATTCAGTAAATAACATAAGAATAAAGAAATAAATCTAGCAAAAGATGAGCAAAATATGACAGCATTGCTATATGGAACATTCTTGTACCACAGTAGAAAATGTTAACACATAGCCATACCACATTTGGTTCACTAGAGAACCTAATAAAGGCATCAGAATATTTTGGGTAAATCTACATATGTTTGCAACATAATTGTGGAAACACCAATAAATAATTAGCAACGCAGGAGATGCAAGCTAATACTTCAAAGGTTTAAAAACTCAAAAAGCTGAATCTGTGACGTGTTGGAAAGTGGGTGCTGCAGGTGTACCTGTGGACCTGTAGACCCGGACACAAGTTTGGGTTTGCTGGATCAAGGAAGGTTCAAGGCCTGAGGCACCATTTCCTACTGAGGACTGAGCAGCTCAGGAACATGAAAGTGCTGGAAAACACTAGGAGACAGCAGGAAGCATGCAGCTTTGCTTCAGGGAGTCCAGGAGTGTGACAAATAAGTTAGAATCCAAAGCTCTGTGATATAAGACCACTGTTTGTCTGAGGTTGATGGCAGAGAGACATCTATGTCTGGGGAACCTGAGGGTCCCTCCCACCCTCTCCAGCCTCTGCTCTCCTATTGCTTTCAGTCTCTCCTCACTTCTCTCTGAACCTCTACTGTAGCCTGTCTCTGCTCTTCTCTGCCCTGCCCCTCACCTCTTTTTTTTCGGGGGGGGGGGTTGAGACAGGGTTTCTCTGTATTGTTTTGGAGCCTGTCCTGGAACTCGATAGGTAGACCAGGCTTGGTCTCGAACTCACAGAGATCCACCTGCCTCTGCCTCCCAAGTGCTGGGATTAAAGGCGTGTGCCACCACCGCCCGGTGCCCCTCACCCCTTACATCCGGGGTCAAGGTCTCCAGGTGCAGGCAAGAAAGGGGAGGGAGGAGGAGGAGGAAGGGGGAGGGGAGAAGAGGAAGGGAGGGGAGATTTTTTTCTGTGCATAGAGTCCTTGTAACAAAGCAGCTTTTACACTTTCTGTGTCCCTGCTGATGCCTAAAGGCAGCAATCTTTTTCTTTAAAGTTACTGAAAATTTTTCATATGATATATCTGGATGTTTTCCCCTGCTCTAGTTCCTCCAAGATCCACCTCCCTACCCACCCCTTATGTGCTCTCTCTCTCTCTCTCTCTCTCTCTCTCTCTCTCTGTCTGTCTCTCTCTCTCCCTCCCTCCCTCTCTCTCTCAAACAAAATGAACAAACACAGAAAACTTCTTCACATTTAATGTCTAAAACTGAGTCTTGGCAGAAAAATGAATGATGAAAATTGGGTTCATATACACACTGGAACTTTCTTCAGCAACAACAAAAAACGAATTTATGAAAATGTCAGGAAATTGGCTAGTGTATTGATAACAAGAAAGATGAAGGTGCACCCTTTGGCAGGCCGTGCTGGGGCATGCCACTAAGCAAACACAACAGGTGCAACAGAGTTAGTGCCAGAGTTTTATTGGGGAGGGGGAGAGTGAAAGGCTGTGTTGGGTTGGGGACCTGAGACATGCAGACAGACAGACAGACAGAAGGAAGAAGAGAGGCAAGAGAAGAGCAGGGGAAGAGAGGAGTAAGAGGCAAGAGAGGCAAGAGACAACAGAGCGAGCTGTACCCTGGTGGGCACTTGTACAGGGTGCACGTGTCCCACAGCAGATGGTGGGAAGGCACCTGGAGACAGGTGATGACATGACTGCTTTGGCAGCGGAGGCAGGCTGCTGATGTGGTGGAAACCAACAGTTAGAAACAGAAAATACTATGTGAGGTAGCCCAGGCTCAGAAAGACAAATAGCACGCAGTCTCTCAAATACAGACCTTAGCCTCATAGTTATGCCTGTGCATTTAGGTGGGAGTAAGTGTGGGTGGAGGCCAGGAAAGCAGAAAGAGGTCCATGAGATGGAGTGGGGGAAGGCTGGGATGTGGCTCGAGGTTAATAGTACCTCTTAGTTCCTTGGTCTGCAAAGATCTGAGCCACAATTCTGAAAGCCACAATCTCAAGTAATCAAAACATCTAAAGCCTAGAACTGTTGTTCTGGAAAACAATAAGAATTATTTTAAAAACTTTGGTGATGGTTTGAAATGATCATTTATTTTAGAAACATGAAAAACTGGCAGAACATTTTGTTGGCATCCAAAGTTTGGTAAGTATAAATTCACATATAGTACAACAAAACTTCATCAAAGAAAGATGTGAGAAAAGAACTGTATTCAGAAAGATCCACATCTAAGAAAAAGTAGATGAGAAATGAGGTTGATTTTAAAAATAAATTGTATTGGTTAAAAAATAGTTGAAAGCAGAAAACATGACTTAGGATGACTGGCATATACGAGACCCCAGTACATAGCCCCTGACATAGGAGTTTTCATGACGGTCAACCTGCCTTTTGATGAGCTCCATCAAAAGTTACAACAGGTATCACTGCATATAGCATCAACCTTAGGGTTCAAATGTTGAGAAATTTTATCCTTCACAAAAGAAGATATCCAACGCAGACATGGCTTCCTTTATGAAGGCATCACCAACATTTCAAATTGATTCACAATATTCGCATATAAACTCAATGCTGTAAATACCTTTTACAAGTATGAATCTACAGCTCAAACAATACTCCAATTCGAATATAAAACATACACATATCGAACCATAAATGAGCAATATCGAACACTTAAAACTATAATATCAAGACTCCAAAAGGGAACAATGTTACAAACGGGAACTGGAGCATACACTGTAGCCCCATAGAGAGAGCACTGGCTTGGCAAGTTGACCCTTTGAAGTCTTACAGCCACAGATACATTGTTTTTCTTCATAATAGAATAAACAATTGTATTCCGTTTCTTTGTGTCTTTGACCTTTTGGAAACCTCCCGTATTTACTGTATGCTGCTGAGAGCAGTCTGCATTTACTTTCCACCTACCCTGGGCCTTGCCTCTGTGATTTTGGACAAGTGGAAAGTCCTTCCTGGGCTTGTCACATACAAATCACAGCTGTAACAGCAATAACAGGCAGTTGAACAGCAATGCTGTGACAAAATGTTACCTATAGAGCGTTCTTTATCATTTTCTTTACTAACTTCCCTAGGAAGAGTGTCTTCCATGATTAAAATCACCATGATTTTCCTCCACCAGAAGGATGGCTACTATGCAGACTAGGAAAAGTTTATGCTTTTTTATTATTTACTCCTGTATTTATTTTGAGGCATGGTCTCTTTTCACAGCCTGGCTGGTTAGGAACTGTCTACGTAGATTGAGATAACCAGCCTTCCTCCAAGCTACGAATTAAAGGCATGTGACACATCCCCGGCTCAGGGACACATTTTGAAAGCACTCTTTCATCATTGCTTTCTTTAACGAGCAATCCCTTTCTCAAAATTTCGTTTCTATTCTTGTGAAGTTATGCAAAGATACATTTTTCATATATTATGGAATGAGAGAACGTTACTGTCTACAGAACATGAAATATATTTGCATCATATCATTTACCATGTGAAGAAGTCTCAAACATGATCTAGGACATTCCTCAAAAATTAAGGTATCTAATTCTGTAAAATTAAAATTTCAGAGGTAAACTGATCACTATAGTTTTATGTCCAAACACGGTCCCTAAGACATCAGCAAGAGGCTTCTCTAAGTCCCTTACTGTCTTGCTTGTCAGATAATAGTCTCTGGGGTAACTTATTATCGAGCTTGAATCATATAGACATACTGCCCTATGACCCAAGTAGGTTATCTTTATCACAACACCTATTTTCCCTGTGTAACCACCATAATTTACCAGCATCTGCTTTAAAGTTAGTGCAGTTTGATTACAATACTTCTTTAACTCAGCACCAAGTTCCCTCAGAACAGTGCTGTCGTCTTCCAGCTCTCCATCTGCCAGGAGAAAGCTGTGCAGGGTCAGGAGTCTGTCCTGGGAAATATGAAGCACATCCAAGATGACTTCCTGCTTCTCCTGCAAGCCAGGATTCAAGGTCCAGTTCTCAGGGATGACCAGCATTCCTTGACGAAGTGAGCCCAGCTCTGTCCAAAGTAACTGCTCATATCTCTCATATTCCGAGAACTGTTCCATGCAGAGGGCTTCTGGAGAGCATGTCACCTTTCTAAACACCACTAGAAAAATAAATAAACATAGCAAATTAAACAGAAAACTTCCAGGAATATCCTGTATGAGTCATCACCATGAAGCTAGTTAAGTGCCCCACTTTGCATCACCAGAAGGTGAACACAGAGGATACCAAACAATAATAATTCAAGAACAGGAGGGTGACAGGTGCAAGGGGGACTTGGAAACACAGACTCTGCCAAGAGGGAGCCTGGGAAGTGCGTGAACACGCACATTCCCACTTTTCCATAACATGGTGCATCTGAATCTTGCTCGGGACAACTCGATGAATGAGAAGACTCAGGGGAGCAAAGGATGGACCTAATGCTGAACACAGAAATGTCAGACATCAGTAACCATCACGAAGTGATGAGACAGGAGGAAGAGAATCAAGAAGACTCCGCAGAGCAAAGGCGAGAGCAGGGCACAGTCCGGGAGCTCCAGGGATGGAGAGAGGATGCCTCAGAGGAGGACCACAGGCTTCCCTGGTGGGCACAGATTGGCAATCACAGCCACAGGCAAATCCATAATTCTTGAAAGTCACATATCCAGTTCAGGAATTTGAATGGACACTGTCGCCTTCTACCTGGCTGGTTAGCATTGGGGAGGAAGTACATCGTGTCTACAGTTCTCCTGTGTCAGAACATGACATGAAGTCAGGTGCTATTCTGTGTGTGTGCTTGGCATGGGCAGGGTGGTGTGGGGTAGTTATTGTTTGAGACACAGTTACTCTAGGCACCTGAAACAAGTATCACTCACACTGCAAGAAGCCTGGAGAGAGATTTCAACATGGATCCTGATGGGGCAAGGAGGCTTGAACATACTTCCAGCAACCAACCTAGGAAGCCACAGTGACACTACCTGGAAGGTGAGCTCTCTGCTGCTGAGCTTCTGGAACATCATGAGGAAACCAGCTACAGGGACTGAGTGATGGGATGTTTAATTGAAGGGTCCGTTTCTCTTTTTCCTTCGAAAATCCTGAGAAGACAAAAGCAATTTTTAATTTTCCACAGGTCATACTGCTCTGTAACTAGGGCAAAGTATGTTAAAAGTCTTAGCTAACCTGTGTTTTCCTAGAGAAAATTAAAATAGATATTGAGTTTAGATTTTGAGGTCAAATACAATTTGCAAAATGAAGGTTTGGTGATAGTGAAGTGCTCCAACTACACTTACAGAAACATAAGAGCATAAAGTGCACTATAGTAGTGTAGTACATTAACAGTTACATGAGTCTGTTTTACTTCTTTTTAAAAAATAGAGACAGTCATTCACGTAGACCATTCTGGCCAAATCTCACCATGTGGACCTTGGGCCACATTCTATCACCTTGCCCAGCTTTGTGATTTTCCAAAATGGAGGTGAATGAAGCCAGGGCTTCTTGATGCAAGGCAAGCACTCTATCACCAGCTTTGTGTTCTTTTAAAAAAGCAGTTAACTCAGCTGGGCAGTGGTGGCACACGCCTTTAATCCCCTCACTCGGGAGGCAGAGGCAGGCGGATCTCTGTAAGTTTGAGGCCAGGCTGGACTGACAGCCTCCAAAAAAATACAGAGAAACCCTGTCTCCTTAAAAAAAAAAAAAAAAAAAAAAGGCAGTTAACTCCAGAAGGAAGGAAGGAAGACTGGGGAAGAAGTGAGTTTGTGGGGAGACAAGAGAGCTCTGATTTCCAGATGATGTAAGTTTCTGGTGCTTGCTTCCACTAAGACTTCCTGTTCCAAAGGAGATAAAAAGCCAGCAATTCCTTCACTTTGGAGGAAAATGTATGGTTCCATTTTGTACAAAAATGTGAGAGGAAGGAGGGAGTTTTAAGCAGAGGGGTAGATGGGAATAAAGGGGTAAAGGACAACGGGGAAGATTAGATGGTGGGGTTTCTGAAGTGAACACGGGTCATCACAGGCACCAAAGCAATGGAGACAATACATGGTGGGCCAGCACATCCAAATGCCCAAACAAAGGGACATTCGCTTTTCATAACTTGATTTTCTAAACCATCTGTCACTGTTAGTGAAAGATGAATGACACAGAAAGCTGACAATGAGAAATGAGATCAATGCAGTGGCTTCTTGGGGATGGGGTACTTCAACCATCACAGTAGGAGGAATTTTTACAAACAAGCTAGGCATAGTCTAGAAAGAGGCAAGCAGAACTAACAGGCGACTCTGGGTGGATGAGCAGAAGTTCAGGAAGCAGATAGGACAGTGTCCATGACAGGCTCTGCTGATCAGCCTTCTGATGAAAACGGAAATGCCAGGGAGGCCAGGACTGTGGACCGCTTTCAATCTTCTGTGGCAAAACCTGAGCTGAATTTTGCCCATGGCCTGTGTCTTGGCAGGGATCTCAGTATAAACCCCTGTCTGAAATGAGAACACCCTGGAGGGGAATTAAAATTTGGGCTCCTTCCTCTTCCTGCTTCAGGCCTGGCCACTGGAGATGCAGGCTGTATCACAGTTGGCCATTGTGAAGGAAATAGCTCATAGCATTTCTGAAAGCAGCTACAGTCGGAAAGCTCCTAAGTGGGCAGAAGGAAACGGGAGGTTGTCGACTCTGGGTTGTATCTAGCAGAGGTCAGTAAATTAGCTGTTCAGACAAAAGGAGTTTTGATGTTCTGCTGTCTAACATATCTTCGAAACCCCTGTCCAAACAATCAAGTGACTGTCATCCCCCTTCACCAACCTGGTGTGGTGTCCATCTGGAGCCTGACCCATTCCTCCATAGTAAACCTCTTCACGAGGCTGCCTTCCACGTGCCAGGAATCAGGCTCTGCAGCGAACACAGCACAGCAGAATCTCTCCACTCTGAGCGCACAGACGTAAGAACACACAGCTTCCTGTCTGTGGACTTGGATGAATTTGCACGTGTACTTGATCTTCTCCTGCTCCGCACAGAAGTGAGTGACAGGCAGCTGTCGGATGCACTCCTCTATTTCGCTCTCTAGCTGTACAAGATCGCTCTGATCTGCTTCAAAACCTATTATTTGTTGTTTTTTCCCATCTAAACCAATGAACAAATATCCCCCGTCAGTGTTTGCAAAAGCAGAAACAGTTTGAGGGAGGATCTCTAAAATCTTTTTTTTAGGGGACATTTTAACTTCAGCATGCTTGGATTTAGTGAAACAGAATGTCTCCTTGTAGGTGAACTTTTCCATGTTAAAAAACATGACAGGACTTTCTGGTTGTAATTCATCAGAGTCACATAATTCAGGCAAACTTTGTCTTGAACATGATCTCCCTTTAGAATACTTCATTCCTTTCAGGAACTTGACTGCTTCAGGACCTTTCAGCTCATGTGATGATGAAAAACTTCTCGTGTAGAGGTTGGTTTTCAAGGTGTGGACACGCTGACCAGAGATATCTGGGATCCATGGTTTCACAAAAATTAAAAAGTAGTCTTTGATCTGCATATAGTCTAGGTATTTTGGAAGAAGTGGGAGAATGTCACAAAAAGAACTTTCCAGTCCTATTCCATCTCTGGTGAAGGTGTAATTGGAATTCTTAATGTGAGCCTTGACCACGCCCCCTCCAGAATTCAGTAGAGTACACACAGCCTGTGAGATCATTTGAGCTTGTCTCTTTCTTAGTTGAGTATCTTTCATTAACTTCCTATTCATTTCTCCAAGTGTGATTTCTCCTACAGAGAGAACCAGTTCTGCATAGTCAGTCTCCTGATCAAGGCTGATGCTCATTTTGCAAGCACTAGCTTTGTTTCCCAGATGACATTGCTTCCTGTAAAACAAACAGAGCCATTACATTAGACCTAACCAGTAAGAGCCAGCAATGCTTTACAAAACACAGCACAACTGCCTGAGCTGCTCTGTGAGATTAAGCGTGAAGGTCAGAATGATGTTTTGTTTAGGGACTGTTGGGCCAATTCTGAATACAATGCAATAACTAGTGTGGTTGCTAATTTTTCAAATTCACTGTCATGATTTTATTTGATCCTCTTCTAATAGTTTTGAACTAACAAACTTATTTGTGTATATTCATCATTCATGACACTGTTATATAAGGGACATATACAATTGTGTACTCTTACTTGCTTTAATACTTTATGTGTGTGAGTGTTTTGCCTCCATGTATGTATGTGCCCCACAGGTATGCCTGGCAGTCATGGAAGTCAGAAGAGGGTGTTGAATCCCTCAAGACTGGAGTTACTGGTGGTTGTGAACCACCATATAAGTGATGGGAATCTGGCCCAAGTCAAGGGCTACAACTTCTCTTAAGCACAGAGCCAGCTCTCCAACCTCTACAGAAGGATATTTAACATAAGTGTGTGCTGCACAGGAAGTATGTTCTCCAGTCTGACCTTTCTTTGATGTCCCCATCCCATCAACCTCACCACTTCTTTCATGTCTTACACACACACACACATGGTTTTATGGATGTATAATCTATAAACTCTGGGAATCACAACTGACAGGAAGTATCTGAGATTGGATTTCTGGGACTGGCTTGATTCTCTGAGTGTGAGCACGTCCCATGGTCTCCATTCCCCACAGTGGTTGGGATGACACTCAGGCCTTTGTGTTTGTCAGGTAAGCGTTCTCCAGGAGACACACCACAGCCCCTTTTGTCCTTTAATGTAGGTCTTTCCCATTCTAACTCTCACTGCTGGAGAATGTTCTGGTGTCTAGATTTTCTCTCTTCATTTTCTCAGGACAGTCTTTTCTAATCATGTGAAGTCTTAATTGTGTCATTGTTTAGGAGCACTTTGTTCCTGTCCTGGGCCCCTCTGTGCTTCTGACTTTCCTTCTGAGCAGCTTCCTAGTTCCTTCCCACATGACAATCAGTTAGTTTACATACTTGGAGTCTCTCAAAGGTCCTGGCTTGGCATGCTGCCTGCCCTGGAGAATGTCCACTGGATACTCGAGTTGACCAGATGGCTCTGTGATTGTCCGTGGAGCCACATCTTCAACCCACATTGGGGAGTTTGCAGACATTTCTCCAAATAACTTCTCACCTCCTTTCTGACCTCTGGTTCTGGGAACAAATACAATCTCCAGGTTAGCCTTCCTGATAGCGATCCACATAATGTGGGGCTTTGTTTTGTTTTTCATTTTTCAGTTATTTGTTTCATGGTATTTGATCACACTGTCAAACCCAAGACTGCTTCCTTTATTGGAAAACCCTGTTTCTAGTTTTAGTGTGGCTCAGCCCTAGCACACACCTTTAATCAAATAGGTTTCTTATTGAACATTGTCAACAGGATTAAATAAATTCAACCATAGATCAAGAGGCAGAGCAAGCAACCACTTAACAGGAAAAAACTATAGAGACTAACAGGAAGTTACGAGGACATAGAAAGAGACACACAGGATATAGAAAGGTGGGAAACTCATTTGGAGTAGTATTGTTTGAGGCAGTGTAGCAGAAAGAAGGCTCTCACGCCAGCATCTGACTATGGAGTCTTTCTTGGTAAAATCGAATGATTGAGATTTAGTTTAAATCAGTAGTTCCTATCGATTCCCCCTGGGTTAGTGGTTTCATTGGTCCTTTTTCACTCTTGTGTACTCACTCTAGTAATGGGCCTTTCCAAAAAGTTTTAAAAATTCAATTAGTGTAGTCTTAAAAATCCTATTGGGTTCCTAATGTTTTGTTTAATTAACGGATTTATTGCCCAAAGTTACCATCCTGGTTTGCATCTATCCTTAGTCTAGTCCTCAGAATCCCAGCCAGGCAACTCCACCTTGCAGTAGAGTCTCCCTTTCCCTCTTCCACATGACAGACTACAGGACGAGCAGCCACCCTTCCACACCAGGGCAGTGTGTGCTGATGTCAGCCCATCCTGCAGGGCAAGAGACATGGCTTAGCAGTAAAGAGCACTGGCGGCTCTTCCAGAGGACCCATGTTCAATTCCCAGTACCCACATGGTGGCTCAGACATGTGGTGCCAAGGCATGCATACAGACTAAACAGCAATACATACAAAATCAATAAACAAGTTAAAACTGATTTTAAAACGTCCCCATGGTGGCTGTATACTTGGATTACTGCTCCTCCCAAGCGTGGCCTGAAGAGCTTCTCTGCATTGAGCAGAAGTTAATACAGAGACACTCCACTGCTCAAAGTGTTGAGAGGAGTGCTCTTCCTGTCCAGCTCAGGGAACAATGCAGAAGTCAGCTCTGATGGAGCCTGTCAGAGCCGAGAGCTGGTGGCTGCAGAAAGAGTCCTGGTCAAGAGACATTTCTGTTTTTCCAGAGCACTCAGGTTTGCTACACTGCACTGCCGGCAGCTCACTACCATCTGCAACTCCAGTTCCAAGGATCAGAACCCTCTCCTGACCCCTGAGGGCACCAAGCACACACCTTGTACACCTACACACACACACACACACACACACACACACACACACACACACTTCACTACATCCGAGTTACTGAAGCAAAGAGACCTATCAGCAGGTGAGTGCATGAGGAGCACGTGGCCTATATGCACAAACCAGCTTACTGCAGCCTCACTCTGTCCTCAGGGTTTATTCAGCCATAAATGTACCAGTGCAGGAAAATGGATGGAACCCAGGATCGCATAAGTGAAGTGCGGCAGAAAGACAAACATTGTGTGTCTACTCTCCCATGCAGAACAAAGCTTCTAAAGGCATCAAAGTACAACGGAGACTATGTGGGGAGAGGAGCAGTGGTGGGAGGGGGAGAAGAGAGTAAAGAGGGATCCCCAGGGTCATGGGACATCTTGTGGGTGACAGTGACATAGTGAAACCCTTTGCTCACCAAAATTAATACCAAGTAATAAGAAAGAGCCGCAATATAAACAGAAAACATCACCACCGCCACCAAATCAGTTTTCTCAGACTACTTTTCTGTGGGAGGTTGCTTTGAACTGCAGCTGACTTTGCTGTTCTGACACTAGGGGGCACTCACATGCAGATGACAGCAAAGACCAGCCTTATACAAGAGGAGCTGTAGACATGTGGGAGGGTAAGATGGTCAGTGCCTTGGCCAATATCAAGTAAAAGCAACTCTCCATGCCTGCCCACTGTTGTGGGGTAAACCCCACTGAACTCATTTGATTCTGCGAACCTGAGCTCCTGAGTGTCACTTGGGCTGGGTCGCCATCTCAGTTTGGATGCTCAGAACACTTTTATGCCCTGAAGATTTTTATCTCTTTAAAAATTTTAAGTGTGCTACTTGTGTGTATTATAGATGAATTTTTAAAATTTTTTCAAAGCATTTTGAAATGTGTTTTTTTTTCCTGTGTGTGTGTATGAACCACATGTGTCCCTGGTGTCTTTGGCAGCCAAAAGATGACATTAGCATATCTGACTGCAGTTACCAATGGCTGTGAGATGCCCTGTGGATGCTAGGAATGGAATCCAGGTCTTCTAGAAGAGCAGCCTGTGTTGTGAATTATTGAGCCATCTATGCTTGTCTGTCTGTCTTCTTTCCATTCTTCCTTTCTTTTTTTCTAACATAAATGCAATGTATTCAGAGTGCAGAATACACATGTGAAATATGTATATATTATGAAATACGTTCATATGTTACATTAAGTCAATTGACATGTGAATAACATTATACAAAAAACTATGAAGCTGATATTTTTGTGTTGATAACACTAAACACATGGTTTTTGAACTAGGTCTGATGGTTCATCCTATAATCAAGATCCCAGGAGGCTGAGGCAGAAAGATTACAAGGACAAAGCCAATCTTGGAATGCAGAGAGAATTCAAGGCCGGCAAACGTAGCAAAACTCGTTCTCTAAATAAAAAGTAATCAGAGGGCTGGGCGTTGGTGGCACAAGCCTTTAATCCCAGCACTTGGGAGGCAGAGGCATGTGGATCTCTGTGAGTTCGAGACCAGCCTGGTCTACCAAGTTAGTTCCAGGACAGCATCCAAAGCCACAGAGAAATCCTGTCTGGAAAAACCAAAAAAAAAAAAAAAAGCAATCAGACGGCTGGAGATAGAATAAAAAGCAGAGCCCAGCATGATTTTGGCTCAACCCTTGGTAACACAAAATATGACATCTACTTTTGGCAGCTTTCAAAGTAGAACACACTGTTGTTTGCTGTAGATACCCTGTTCTGCAATGCTCCTCTTACATGACAACATTTTAAATCTCTCAACATGTAAGCCCCCTCCTGCTGCCTGCTCCCCTAACTTCTACTACCACCATAACAGTTTCTTTAGAGTCCTTATATAAGGGAATTTATGCAGGATTTGCTCTTCTGTGCTGGATCGTTTTACATATGTAATGCCATTCACAAATGACTATATGTCTGTACTTTTCAGACTCCATATCAGTCCACTGTGTGGGTACTACATATTCTTTGTTTCTCAGCTATCCATGATTTCATATTTTGACTTTTTAAAAAAGGCAGCAATGGCCATGGACATGCAGGTGTCTCTCTGGCATAATAACTTCATTTCACTTGAACAAACATAGTAGTGTTTCTCAGTTGTTAAGGTGCCTCTAGGTTTTTCTAAGATGTCCAATCTCAGTCATACACTCACCCTTGCTGTGCAAGGATTCCTTTACTCCACATCACTGATGACAGTTATATTTCATCTTTCTGACAATAGTCATTGCAGGACCAGGAGCTGCAGAGAGGGGCTCTGTGGTTATGAGCACCTGCTGCTCTTGCAGAAGACTCAAGTCCCATACAAGCACATAAAATAAAATTCATCTTAAAAAGTCATGGTGCTGAAGGGACAGTTCAGCAGTGAAGAGCACTGGCTGCTCCTCCAGAGGACCCAGGTTCAATTTCCAGAACCCACATGATGACTCTCAGCCTTCCATAACTCCAGTTAAAGGCAACCTGTCACCCTCTCTATCACTACAGAACCACCAGGCACTCAACATCATATACATACTTACATGCAGGCAAAAAATCCATACTAAGAAAATCATAATGATGAAAGGAATAAATTAACCAGTCATTGTTACAAGAGGAAATCATATTTCACTGTGCTTCTTGCATGTCAATAATTAGCGACATTAACATTTTTTGTCAAATGCCTCTCTTGCCTTTGTGAATCCGCTGTGAATGTGTCCCCTATCCCTCTATCCAGTCTTTGACCCCTGAAGAGATCAGGGCTTCTGGGCCTTCTCTTCTTTGCACCCCAGCTGTGGGATCTGACATTCATCTCTTTAGTCCCTTTCTAGATTCCTGTATAATTAGTGTGAGACATGACTTCATTCTTCTCTGTGTAGAGATCTTTCTTCAGTTTCTGCTGTAGGGTCAGGTCTCGAAGTGGATGGGGCATCCTCAAGGGGCTCTGGAGGTCTACACAAACCTCTCTTCTCCTGCTCACCAGCCAGACTTAGACCAAGCTTAATTTGTCAGTGCACGGAGCTACCGAGGTAAGACTTCATATTTGTGGCACTGAGGGTTATACCAAGGTCCCAGGAATTCTGTTGCTGACTAAGAATAAATCAGCACACTTACCCTCTTCCCATCCTACAAAAATGAAAGCATTTGCTCTCGCCAAACTCCTGCAGCATCCAGGCCCTCAGCAGCTGGTGGTTTTGGAGACAAGGCTGTGGAGATGCCAGAGCCAAAGAGTCTGGGAGGGATAGAAACTCTCCAGGGTTTACATGAGACAATGGGATGTATCACCAACTCCTATTCATCCTAGGTCAATAGCCAGGACCTATTGCTGGGATGGGGACAGAAAGAGAAAGAAAATGAGTCTGCAGGATGCTGGTATGAGCCTGGCTCACCCTACCTTGTGCTGGAATCTGAGTTGCTTGAAGTCCTTTGTGCTCAAGAGAGGGAATTTCACGTTGGATAGCCTCCTCCAGAGCAGGAGCCCTGCAAAGATGAGAGCTCCTTCAGTGCTGAATGTGGGTTCTCCTAGATAAATATTTAACCTTCATGAGTTCTGGGTTTATTTTCTTGCTGTTGTTGTTTGTTTAATGTTTCCCTAGAGGGAATGAAGCAGTTTTGTTCCTTTGTCTTCCTTCTCTCTCTGGCCAGGGTTACTTGAATTCCAGCCTCTAACCTTCTCTCACCTCAGCCTCCCAAGTACCCACGATTATGTGCACACCCCATCACTCTGTTGTCACGTCTAGGACAGAATCAATCTGTTAATGTTTGAGCTAAGTTTCTGCATCTATGATGCTTTTCTAACATGGTGGTTGACAGATGCTGGTGTCAGTTTACAGCCGCTTCCCAAAAGGAGTGACAAAGCTCTGCCCAGATGTGTGGACAGTTGAGGACAGAACCCCTGTGCAGCACATGCATTAAACCACAGCTAAAGGAATGAGCATTTCCCCGACATGATGTGCTTTCTTTCTCCCTTGGCAGAGTTCACCATCATCTGCCATCCTGGCAGAAACCAAAGTGGAAAGTTTGGAATTCTGTTTTGCCTTGCCATCACATCTCATTCATAATTAGTTTGTAAAATAATGGTTAACAGCTTCAGTCAAAACCCTGTAAGCTGCAGCTTCTTTAAATGAGTGTTTTTTCTGGTGTATGACTGTGCACCACACGTGTGCATGGTGCCCTTGGAGTTCTGAAGAGGGATCCCCTGGCACTGTAGTTAGGGATGTTGGTGAACCACCATGCTAGGATCTAAACCCAGGCCCTCTGCAAGAGTAACAAGTGCTCTGAACCTCTGCACAATCCCCCCAGTTCCTGTAAACTGCTACTTAATTTCATATTCATATTAATGCAAGTGCTTCATGATACCATGACAGCTGAGATTGGAGATGGCTGAAGGATGGTAAGAGTAATATGTATAAGGATGAAACGTCACACAAACTTAACTCTTTAGAATACTAATCACATCTGCTGATTTTTTACTTATTTATATTTCATTCTTACTATTTTCATTTATGCTTTTTGAAATGGGGTTTTACTATGTCCCCTTGGCTGCCCTTGACCCAGTATGTATACATCAGGCTGATACTAAACTCATAGAGATCTGACTGCGGTTGCATCCTGAGTGCTGGCTTTAAAGGCAATTGTCAACCATCCTGGCTACAGCTACTGACTATCATTAGCCCAAGGGCTCTTTAATAAAGCTCCTCAAATCTATAGGTAGATGTGGTTCAGTAATATAAAGATCTATTAGAAAGGGAGGTGGAAATCCTGAGAAGATACACATGATAAGAAGCTAAATCTCAGAAATCAAGAAATAGAATACCGAAGTAAGAATACCTTGTGGTAAAGAAGTTTAATTCTAGAAATTATATTCTGACTAAAACATGAGGGTAGACTTGAACTCATAACTCATTTTACAAGAATGTCTAAGAATCAATAATCGTAGGGACCCTAGGTTTCCAGAGACTGAATTACTATGTCAAGTGGTAAAATTGCTCATATAAGCAATATTCACCACTGGCATTTTTTTTCCCAGCAACTTTATCTTGGGCAGGTCTGTAGAGACACACTCAACACCTGAGAGGAGACAGGCCCAGGGTTCCATATCTATTATAGACCAAAACTTTCCTTTACTGTTCCCAAGCACCCAGAGCTGGGCAAGGAGAAAGACACTGTCCCAAGGTAAGTTCAGACTGGCCATGCATTCATATAGGTCCCGCTAAAGGAAAGCATGTGAACACACTGTTGAAAGAACAAGCTAAAGGAAGAAGTCTGAACTCCCAGGAAATGAAAACTGTGAAGTCAGATATGTGTGATCACTGAAGTTTAAACTGAAAGCTTAACTGTGGTGTTAATGTGAATTAGCTCTGCAAGAAACACTCAGGAAGATGTGTGTTTCCACCTTAGTGAGCAATTTGCTTTGTGGGAGGGTTAATTAATGTGTGTTAGTGCTGATCACTGCATATTTCTACACAGGAGGCCTGCCCAGCATGTGAGCCCGGCCATAGAGTTTCATCTCTGTCCAAAAGGCTGCAAGGGGACAGGCCTGTGGTGTTGCCCCTGGGAGCCTCTTGTGGGCATTGTGAGTTTGAGCCATGCCCAACATACACAGCAAATTACAGGCCAGCCTGGGGTACACACCAAGACACTCTCTGCCCCCTCTCCCCTCTAAAATACACAAGCAAAACTCCAATCAAAGCAAACTGGCTCTAAACAGCCTGTCCTGTGGAGAAGGGAGCAGCTTCCTTTCTGCCCAGTAAATAGTTAAAGCTGCAGCCCCACCCTGATCTTTGCACTGCTGAGCAGTCTCAGTTCCTCTTTCCTTCCCAGTCCCTCCTGTCCAGCACCCTCCTCATCAGGCCCTGTCCTAAGCCAGCACCCTCGATCAATGTCCCCATGGAAAGGGGACAGAAGTCTTACCTCACACCACAGTGTAAAAGGACAATGCCCCTGAGATTATTAAAACTCGAGAGTCCTACAGTGCAGTCACATTTAGAGGAGTTGTGGGCTAGCCTGGGACACTGACCATCTCATATCAAGACCCTAGCTGTCAAAACCATCTATGATTCATACCCACTACCTTCAGGCACACAGCTGAGACAGAATCCTTCAACCCAAGGCACACACCAGAGCTCACCAAATTCCAAGACTGAAGTAAAGCTCACTGAACTCCTGCAGCTTTGGGTCTCATTTACCAGGTAGTCCCCTCTCAAATTGTAGCACTGAGTTTGGGCAAATTCTCTCAGAAAGGAACTTGGGGTTTAAGGTGTCTAGTCACCTATTTTTGGTGGGAAAGAGTATGACAGTCTGATGCACTTACTCTGCCACAATTGCAGGTTGGTTAGAAAGCACAGAAAGAGGGTCCAGGAGAGGAAGGACCTACTGTCTGTGGAACAAAGCAAAACAACCCAAGGCTAGACCACTCTTCTCTCCTGGGTTGGCATGGTGCATTTCCCTTGGCAAAATTCCTCAGGGGCTGGTTTCTTTCTGACTCTAGTGTTCTGCTCCTCCCCGTCCTGGAGCCATGTTTTCTTACCATGCAACACAGTCAGGTTTCTAAGAGGATATAGAACCCTCAAGGGATTCTGTAGATTCACACAAGCCTGACATTCATACCCCACCATGACCCCCCTGGTCCTACCTCTCCAACAAGCCTCTGAACAAACATGATGGGTGCTCTTCCATCTACCTTAAGCCCTCCCTTTATCTCACAGAGGGGGAGGCATTTGCTCTCACCACAGCTCTGATGACTCCAGGTCCTCAGCAGCCTGTGCTTTGACAGAAGAGGCTCTGGAGATGTCAAGAAGCCAAGATTCCTACAAGGAAACGAGGTTGGGTTTACTGATAGGTACTGATAGGGATGGGTTGTCAACCTCTCACCCCACATCCACCCACAACGGGGGAGTAGACAGGACTTGACACTGGGAGGGGAAAGGAAGAGAAGGATGATGGAGGACAGGGAGGTCGAGGATGCGGCAATGGACCTGGTTCACTTACTCCGTGGTTTCCAAGCTGATTTCCTTGAAGCTCTGAGTACTGGAAGGCATACAGTTGTTAACAGTTCTTTTGCCTGGCCGGCAGTGTGTTCTGGATGGCCAGATATGGCCAATATATATCCAAGATGTGAATGCGTGGTGACGTGAAGCGGACTAGTTTTACGATTGAAACGGTGTTGCTACTCTTGGACTTTGAGCGTTTAGTCACTCCAGGAAGTCTGAAGGGGAACTTCCGTGCTTTGTGCAATTCTGCTTGAAATGGACGAAAACAAGAACAAACAGAACAATATGCAAACAGAAGTGGAAACTACGTGGTGGGGCTTGGGGCAAAGATGGAAGGAGAAGGGTGAACACAGGTAGAGGTAAAGGGAAACTTGTCGCATATAGTAAATACCTTCGTGGAAGAATTTAATTTTATTGAAAAGAAATGAAGTGTTTGTAGTGTCTTAGCAGGAGCCCCAGCCTTCCATCTTCACCAGCTTCCATGAGCAGCCTAAGTCCCAGTGCTTGAAGAGCAGGTGCTGGACGGGTGGGAGGAGGAGAGCAGTAGCCTCCTGAGAAGGAAGGGCTGCAGAGGGCTGCTGCACCAGTCAGGCAGAGGGCACCCCCTTGGCACTGCAAGAAAAGGCTCCAGTGGCCCTAAGCAGTTTCAAGCCTCCTACTGCTTTCTTTTCTTTTTAAATTTAAATTAGAAACAAGCTTGTTTCACAGGTCAATCCCAGCTTCCTCTCCCTCCCATCCGGCTTTGTTTTCTTTAGGGCTCTTTTTATACCAAATGCAGCAAAGCATCAATGCACGTTTTTCTAGCCCTTTGCCTCTGTCTAATCTCAGAAACACACAAGCTTTTTTTTCCCCTTTTGTTTCTTTGTTTTTAGGGGTTTTTTGGCAGAGGGGTATGTTTTGGTGCTTACATATTTGTGCTTTTCTGTGACATTGTCCTAAAAACAAATGACAAGCTTTGGTTATACTCATCCCTTTAATCTCTGTCTCCTCCGGTGCCAACAGACACCTGTGGTTTGGATACACAAGGGACAAAATGTCCAGCTCATTGAGAACTCTGTGGGGGTGCATTGTTTCTATGGAGCTCCACTCCTGTCTCAACTGCCTGCTGGTGGGGGTTCAGCCTAGACTCTCACTGTCAGGGAAAGGTAGAGTCTGCCTGGGTAAGAAAATGAGTGAGTATACTCCAGTCACTGCTATGGCAGAGAGAGAAAATGTTACTAACTCCTTACTTGATGAATTGTTCACAATTATATATGAATATATTTCCCATCTCCAAGAGAATTGGTACAAGAAGCTTGTATGGGGAATTAAAAAAAATCCACAGTGTTGAATGATGAAAGAGAAGAAGTCTCTAGAAGCCCTGACTTGTCAAGCGTCAGACTCTGTGTGATGCAGGCCCAAGGTTTGAGAAAGTCACAGCCCCATTCTTTCTGCAAGGTAATGCAAATCCAGGCAAAAGGCTGAGATTGGCATCCTTTCCATTTCCCTAACTTTTCAAGGTTTCGTTTCTTAGAAAACGAAAGCACAGTTCTCAGGCCTCCTCTGTCTCCACCCTTCTAACCTCAAGAAGCAAAGGCTACTTCCTGTTGGGTAATAGTCATCTCTTTCCAGTCAGTTTGACCTTCATGAGCTCCTGCTTGAGACTCAAGAAACGGTATCAGAAGAACCACTCACTGAGTCCCTGGGAGAGCAATGGGGTGGGGGTTGGGAGTGGTGAACATTTGGATGAACTGTGTTCATTGGTTTCTTTCGTTGTGAGATGGTCTCATATTCCCTTGCTGTCCTTGAACTCGCTGTGTTGCCTGCCAGGACATGGAACTCCTGATCCTTTTGCCACTGTCCCCCACCAAGTGCTGGGATCAAAAGTGTGTGCTTTCAAGTCTTGCTGCTTTTTATCTCAGTTTTTTTTAATTGTTAATTCTTTTAGGTTAGCTTGTTCTTCCTAGATCGCAGAACCCCAAAAATACACCACTGAGGAAGCGACACACCAAATGTAAAAACCAAAGTTTCTTTTTGTTACAAGCTGAATGCCACTTTTTGACTGAGAGGGGTTTTTAAAGAGATAGTTCAAAAGACTGGATGTCTTGAGATTACAAAGCTTTAATGGCTGCATAGGATGAAACAATAACCATATGTTTAAGCCACAATGCAATTAAGCAGAATGCTGTAGAGGAAGCTAGTTTGTTAATTATCTCCTGGGCCAGGGACTATTACAACTGTGAATTGACAGCTATCTGATCTTCTTTTTTTTTATTTTCTTTTTCAGTTTAAATTTAGATTAGAAACAAGGTTGCTTCACAAGTCAGTTCCAGGTCCCTCTCCCTTTCCCTCCCCTCCTCCCGTGCCCTCCCCCCGACCCCACCCCATTATCCCCTCATTTCCCCAGGTAGGGCGAGGCCCTCCTTGGGGGTGTCCATAGTCTGTCATTTCATATAGGGCAGGGCCTAGACCCTCCCCCAAGAGTTCAGGGTGAGAGTGCATCTCACATTGTTGGATGGGTATCTGATCTTCTTTAAGACAGGGAAATGTTAATACAGCTGGGTTGTGTTATCTGTTCCCAGGACTCTCTACCCAAGTCTCTGTTTAGCCTTATCCATCAGGCTGCCTTTTTGGGAACTCAGATAGTCTTAAGAGTTTTTCTCTTCTATCTTCTATTTGGGCTTTTGGAGTCTAGACTTCTATTAATTTTCTTTCTTTCTTTTTTTTTTTTTTTTTTTTGGTTTTTTGAGACAGGGTTTCTCTGTGGCTTTGGAGGCTGTCCTGGAACTCGCTTGGTAGTCCAGGCTGGTCTCGAACTCACAGAGATCCGCCTGCCTCTGCCTCCGGAGTGCTGGGACTAAAGGCGTGCGCCACCAACGCCCGGCCCCCCTGCTAGTCTCTTAATTAACTTCCTTCTTCCTTCATATCATACATGTCAATCTACTTTTCATATATGAGAGAACTGTGATGGTTTCTTTTTCCCCTTCTTGTTAGTCTCTTCCTCCTCACCCCTTCTTCCCCTTTCCTCTCTCTCTCTCTCTCTCTCTCTCTCTCTCTCTCTCTCTCTCTCTCTCTCTCTCTCTGGGTGTGTGTGTGTATGTGTGTGAGATCTATGTTTCTCTGTGTGTTTGCACTTTCATGTTAAGCACTTTCTATCACTTTACTGTATAGCTCCATCTCTCAAGTAATTTTTATCTTTGCCTCCACACACTGTTTAATTTAATGTCTACATTTGCCAGTTGTGATTAACTACTTTGTAAATATTTCAGTTTCCCATTTTCAACTTCATCATCTTACAATGGAATCTGCAAGGAATATATGAAAAACTTCCTGCTTAGGTTAGGGATGGAGCTTAGAGGGAGAAGGCTTAACTAGTATGTGTGAAGTCTCTTGTTGTACTCTAAATGCACACACATACACACAGAGACAGAGAGAGAGGGGGGGAGGGAGGGAGGGAGAGAGGGAGAGAGGGAGGGAGGGGGGAGGGAGGGAGAGAGAGAGAGGAGACAAAAACACAGAGACAGACAGAGGGTGAGCCATGGAATAGTGACTCATAGGGTGTAAGCTGCATCTCCTGGCTCTTAGGGAAGAAGGGTTACTGTTGGAGATTCCAAGGGCTGTTGTAGACAGACAAGTTTCATGTACCACTTTTTCTTTGTGCCCTCTCTTAGGATAATTATGGTAACATGAGTTTCTCTAACTCACTGCATTTAAGATCTATAAACAAGGTATGAGGAAAAAGGTGAGGCCATAGAGTTGAAAGGAGGGCTGAAAAGTAAGAAAAATATAGGGAGTGAGGAGATAGGCAAGAGGCTAGGCAAAGGTGAGAGGAGAGGGAAGGCTAGGGGCAGGAGACAGGGCCCTCAGAATCCCCAGTGGGTTCTTCTCCACCATCAACCTCAGGCAGATAAAGGCAGTGGCATCTTGCATGTGAACCTGGAACGGTGGCCACACCCCTTTGGGTGTGGCTTCAGGTGATGAGGTAACTGGAAACAGGAAAGTTTGAGGCCTGATCTCTCTTGCATGCTCTCTCTCTCTCTCTCTCTCTCTCTCTCTCTCTCTCTCTCTCTCTCTCTCTCTCTCTCTCTCTCTCTCTCTCTGTCTCTCTCTGTCTCTCTCTGTCTCTCTGTCTCTCTCTGTCTCTCTCTCTGTCTCTCTGTCTCTGTCTCTGTGTCTCTCTCTCTCTCTCTCTCTCTCTCTCTCTCTCTCTCTCTCGCTCTCGCTCTCTCGCTCTCGCTCTCTCGCTCTCGCTCTCTCGCTCTCGCTCTCTCGCTCTCTCGGGTCCAGGATCTGATCTGAAGGACAAAGGCCGCAGTGGTTTTTTATTGCTCTGTGTAAGTTGTTCCCCCAAATACGTCCATTTATCATTCATCTTGGGTCTAGTAAACTCATTACACCCATGCCTTCAGGTAAAAGAGCCTGTGGGCGACTCAAGACACCCCAGGTGAAGGCTAATGGATCAGAAGCAAGGCTTCTGCTTTCTGTCCCCTGCTCCTCCTCCCCCACCTTAACACCTGTAAGTAGAATGAATGCTAATTCATATGGCCGGGTTTGGCTCATTTGTTGCATACCTGCAGTTACTGCAACAATGCTGCATGCATCCTGCCGTCGTCTGGCCTTTCCATCACTGGAATGCTCCTGCACTGCTGGGTCCTCAGAGGAAATGGTGCCCAAGGCCTTGAACCTAAACTTGGCCTACCAACACGAACTTGTGTCCATCCCTCATAACTAGAGGCCCTCTTGCCCCCACTCCATCCCTGCCATGATGGACTCTGCCCTCAGGATGTTGTGATAGCAACCAGAAATGTAAACAATACTGGACTTCAGTGGGCAACAAGCAGAAGTAAGCCGTAAACATGTAACAGACACTGATTGTCTTTGGTGGGGCCGGAGGGATTTATAGGGATCAGACCTAGGTCATCTGAGTTACACCCTTAGCAAGCACTTTTATATTTTGTTTATTTAAGACAAGATTTTGGGTGTAGCTAAGACTGCCTCTCGAACCTTATATAGCCTCTTGTTATGCTCTTAATTCTACTGCCTTGTCCTCTTAGGGTTATAAGCATGTGTCATCAACCCCTACTGAACTAGATTACAATTATTCAGATTCATCTGCTTTATATTAAGTGCATGAGTGTTCTCCTTGCATGGATATCTGTGTGTCACTGTGTGCACATTGCCTGCAGACGTCAGAAGAGAGGTCATGGCCCATGGAACTGAATTTACAGACAGTTTTAAGCACCATGTGAGGCTGGGATCTGATCTCTGTTTTCTATAAGAGCAACAAGTGCTGGTAACCACTGAACCATCTCTCTACCCAACTAAACTCATTGACTTTTAAGCGCCCCCCCCCAGGGCTTGTATATACTGTGAGTGTCAAATTTTGCTCTCTATGAAAGCCTGGGGTAGTGATTTTATGATTGCCATGTTATTTCTTTATTTGGAAAATGACAATTAGATTTTCTTATCACAAAGCTAAGCCTATTGGCACACAACTGTAATTTCCACACTCGTGAAGTTGAGGTAAAAGGATCATGATCCTCTGTGACCTACTGAGTTCAAGACTAGCCTGGACTACGTAAGACCTACCTCAAAGTAAATAAATCATATTTTTTTCTATTCATTTATCACAATTAAGGCTTATTCTGAGTCATTCTAAAAACAAGCTTTGAAGATGGTAACTTTTGTTTTTTCCCACCTCTTTTGTGATCGCAAAGCGTTGGAGCAGGTGATACTGAGACCTGCTCATTTTCTCCACTGTTAGCATTAGCATTAGTCCACTGAGCCATTAACACCCAGGCTGCTCTCTGTGACTCGACCAGAACCAAGAGAGAGCAATCCTGTCCCGGACCCCAGACCAACGTACCACTCGGATGTAGTCAGCGCCACAAGTGCAGCTGGATGGATCTCTCACTGTAGCAGTTAGACAGAAAATCACATCTCTGTTTCACAACCATAATAGGTTAGGTGCTTTGAGACTGGGACCTGGGACTCCTGCAACCATGGCCTTTGTCTTGGCTTTCAGTACCAGACACAGGCTCCCTCCATGGGGATGGATATGGCCTTAAATCCAATTGGAAAATGACTGAACCCATTCTAGCCATGCCATTATCACAGCAGAGAGCACGTTATTGTTTCTATGGTAACTGGAAGTACAGTTGGTACCTTTGATTTTCATTTCTATATATGGTTTTATTTTAATGTTGCTTCTGAGAGATACTGGGATTGAGCCCATAAGATCCAGAGATACAGTAGGGATAAAATATGCCTTCCTTGGGACAGTGGTGGTGGCACACAGCTTTAATCCCAGCACTTGGGTGGCAAAGGCAGGCAGGTTTCTGAGTGTGAGGCCAGCCTGGTCTACAGATTGAGTTCCAGGACAGACAGGGCTGCACAGAGAAATTCTCTCTCAACAAACTAACAAAAACCTGCTCCTGTCAGTCTGTCCCACACCCCTACAGCCATGGCCTCACCCACCCATGGTACCACCCTCCTCACTCCACCACTGAGACCACAGTCAGTGGGCTACAATAAGAATTTTCCCATAGATGTGACACTAAGCATGTGTCTTAGTTAGGGTTTCTATTGCTGCATGGACACACCATGACCAAAAAGCAAGTTTTAGAGGAAAGGTTTACTTGGCTTACACTTCTTCAACAGTGTAGTCAGCATTGAAGGAAGCCTGGACAAAAACTCAAACCGTGCAGGAACATGGAGTCAGAGGCCAAGGCAGAGGCTGGGCTCTCCCACATCAATCACTAGTTAAGAAAATGTCCTATGCAGCTCTCCTGGGCAGCAGAGCCTGAAAGCTAGCCCCACCCATGACCAGCTATGGACATGGTTGTGCACGTGTGTGCCTGTGCTTGTGGAACCAGAAGTCAACATCAGGTGTCCTCAGACACCCTCATCATCACAGGTTGGGGCCTATCTGTACAGTCGCTGGTGGCAACATGGGTCACAGACATCAATACAGACCTCAGCTATAATAGGATCGCAGATCCAGAAAAGGGCCAGCTTAGGCCCAGGTGTGTCTCCATGATCCCAGGTGGTCCCAATAGCAGCAAGGCACTAGGACACCAACATGTCCCCTAGTAGCAGCCAAATTTCCAGCATTGGCATGGCCTTCAACAGTCTTAGGAACTACAGACATCAACACAGACCCTGGTGTGGCAGGACCACAGACCCAGACATGGCCTTTTGTAGCAGCCCTGATCTGGATGATATCATGGTCCAGATGACTGCTCTGGCCACACAAAAAGGCTTTGCCCTGGTGGCAGCAAGGCACTCAGACACCAACATGGTCATAGGTATGTGGACAGGTGTGTAGACTTTGGTGGCTTTATGGGACAGTGACATCAATACAGACCCTGCCTGTCGTATAACCACTGACCCAGGCATGGCCCTTGGCGAGAGCAGGGTCCAGGATGTCACTATGGTTCCAGGTGCCAGTGCAGGCCACTCAGATTGGCATGGCCCCTTTGACAGCATGGCCCGCTGATAACAACATGGCCCCAGGTGAAAGCCCAGATGGCAGGCCTCTGCATGGCTCTCCGTGGCAACAGGAGCCACAGACATCAACACAGCCCCCTCAGCTGTTCAGGGTCTAGGACCACTGCTTTCTGTCAGCTTTTCCTCTGCACCTGAGTCTCCTGGTACTGTAACTATGGTCTGCAACCCTGCTGCCCTACAGTCAGTCAGTGCCATGGCCTGGTGGGACTTCTAGTCTGCCTGCGCCAGCTCTGCTCTGCCACAAATGGAGTTCATAACCAAGTAGCTATCATTCTATTTACCAATAATGACTCGGGAGTCAGATGTTGAGTTGAAAACCTAGATTCTCTGCTACCTCAGAGAGGCTGAGAAGCAACCTGCTGACCTTCCCTTTTGGCCGCAGACCCAGCAAGAGAGCGTCTCCGCAGCCATTCCAAACCAAGAAAGACTGCAAAAACTCCAAGTCCCGCTCTACTCCTTGAGGTACATCTATATCCACCACCCTGGCTTCTCCGTACTCTCTGTGGCTAATTCCTGTCAGCTAATTGCAGGCCTGTGGGGACAGGCTGCTCCTGGTTGATTGTGACTAGCTGGACCAAGAGGTCTGGGGGAGAAGCCATCTGTGTCCTCCACCAGCTCAAACCTGGAAAGGGCAGAGCTGCTCCTGGTTGATTGTGACCACCCAAGGCTTGCCTTGCACACAGGAAGACCTGAATTTGATACCCAAAACGCACATAAAACGCCGTGATTGTAATTCCAGTGTTGGGGAAGTGGAGACGGAAAGACTACTTACTCAGTCACTGGCCAGCTTAGCCTGATTGGTGAGCTCCAGGTCAAAGAAAGACCCTATCTCAAAGGATGACACCTGATGTTGGCCTCTGGTCTCCATAAACATGTGCACACATCTGTCTGTGCACCTCCCTCAACATGCACACACACACGCGCACACACACACGTGCACGCACGCACGCACACACACACACACATGTGTCCTTTAAATACTGCAATTAAGTGTGTCAAAGGAGAAAGTGTTTTCAAAATAAACCCTAAACATCTTTTTGTTTGTTTGTTTTTTGAAACAGGGTTTCTCTTTGTAACTTCTCTGTCTGTCTTGGAACTCACTGTTTGTAGACCAGGCTAGCCTTGAACTCACAGAGACCCACCTGCTTCTGCCTCAAGAGTGCTGGGATTAAAGGTGTGAACCACCACAAGGGGCAACCCCTAAACATCCTGAACCCACTAGTGCATGACTGACAAACTTTGTTACCCTACAAATAAGATCTGGCGATCATTTTTGATCTCTTGTTCAACAATGGTGGGCAGAGTTTGTTCTGCCGCAAGCTCTCCTCACTGACTTCTTCCTTGAGCCTGGGCATTGCCCTTTGGACTTCATCAGGACATTCAACAGTGTGCTGCATCCTATCTGAGGTCTCTTCCACACCCTGACCTTTGGAGTTGAATTCGTTTTTCCTGGCTTTGGAACTGAACCAAGGAGGAAGGGAGGGGGGGGACACACGGGTGGGGGGATGGGAAAGGGAGCGGGAGTGGGGGAAGCAGGAGGGTCTTATCTGGACAGTGTGCAGGCACACAGACCACAGGCACCTCTTTCCCAGCTGCTTCCTCTAGATGCTGCTCCTCCCTGGTTCTGCCAGCTTTTCTACCCTCATCCCTTCCTCCCAGTGACCCCCTAAAGCCCCGGATCATTGGCTTGCCATGGCCCTCATGCTAGCCCTAGGTTTTTCCCTAGGAAGTGGGAGGGTGCTTTTGTACCCACAAGGCTCTGGCTTAGTGTGGACAATGAAGGGACCACCCCCCAACCCCTCACCCCGACCCCCTGCCTCCCGTTTTAGCCGCCATGACAGGCATGTGCTCATCTGCCCTTGCTGCTCCTATCTTGGTCACTAGGAGGTCAGATGCCCTTTCGTCGCAAGGAACCAATCAGAAGTAAGCTGGCGGAGCTGTGCTTTACGGCTCTGAGAGTGCTTTACAGACAAGAGCACAACAGTGATGTGCAGAGCATAGCAACCACCCTGGGAGGGCCTATAGGCCCTAACAACCAGTTGGCCAATCAACACAGGGCAGGTTGTCCAAGCCTGGAAGCGCACCAATCCTGAGACTGTTTCATACCCCTCCCCTAGACACTCCCCTTACGCTGCCCTATAAGTCCCCCCCTCGAGGTTTGCCCCGGTCTTTTCTCCAGCCTTCGTCTGTGGTGAGTGGATGAGATGCCTGATAGCTCGTCAAACAACTACAATAAAAGACTCTTTGCTTTTGCATCGAAATGGGTCTCTTGGTGATTTGGGTATAACAGAGAGGGTGGCCCACCGGATTGGGTTCATTGACTCATTCACCTTAGCTTCGTCATGCCCCACCTCCAGACACCCTGAGCACAGAGAGATAACCGTCTCTGCCCACGCTCTGGGTATTAATCCAAAAAACCTCCCTCAGACTTTACATATGGTTTCTTCATTGCTTCCTGCCACCCCAGAAAACTCCCTCCGTCCTGTGATTTCTTAAGTTAGAGATTAAAGAAAAGATTGTTCAAGTATGTGGAGCGAGTTCCTCAGATTTGCCTTGGCGGTGACAGGAAACGAAGTTCAACCTACGATGATGAACCCTGGTTTTGGAGCACTGTTGGACAGTGGGGTTCTGGGCTGCACATCCAGCAGGCTGCAGAGAGAGTCAGGGTGGGGTTTGGTGGCGCTCACAGACAAAGCAGTTCACTGCACAGACGCCCCAGTGAGTTGAACATTCCGGAGTCCCCTGCCTTTCCAAGGCTGCTGTTCCTTAAGAAAAAAAAAAAAAGTAAGGGAGGGTGACGGTGGGCGGAGCATGAACAAAGCACGTTATGAAAACGGAACAAGGAACACGAACATATGGCGCAGTTCGTATGCGCTCAAAACCAGAATCAGTTTCTTAGGGCAGGTTTCGAAGGAGCAACTTTGGGAATTATTACTATAACCAAGTGGCAAGTGAGGCGATCACCATAGGATACCTCTGGGAATCCCACAGAGGGCTCTGGGATCCTGGGGACACGGAGAGCGGGGTCTCACCCAGCTGCATTTCCCCTGGAGCAGTGCACTGCAAGACTTAAGCTCTGTGCTGGAGTGACTCCCGGGGTATTAACCGGGCGCCTTTTGAGCAAGGGACAGCCCTCATGCTCAGGAACGCCAGCTGCCGTTGGCGATGTGAAGGTCAGATGACTAAACGCTGAGCCTGTTTTTCATTCTGAGACAAAGTAAACGCTCGGGGCGCCTCCCAGCTTCTAGTCCGTCGTTTCACTTCCTGCATTGGGGGTAGGGTGGTTAAAGACTTGCACGTAGTTCTCGAGTTTCCTGTTGGACACCACCTCTGAGACAGGAGCAAGCTGCTCAAAGATTAGCAAAGAAAAGATTGGGTAAGGTAACAGCCTGGGCTGTGGCTAGGACTCGCCAAGTGACGGAACCCACCCTGGAAGACGTTACACGACCAGGATTTGTAGCAGTGGGGGTGTTCCTCAGGTGACTCCAGACTGCCTCACTTCACCGGGGGGCTAACTAGGAGCAGGTATGAGCCCTGGACTTCAAACTACAGAGCTAGGCAACCGCAGAGCTCATGGGTAAGTGACCACCTCATTACAGCCTACTCAAGTCCCAACCCCTTCCGTCCTTTCTTTTCTATCTCCGGGTACAATCTAGTGGCTCTGGGATCATCTGGGGGTCGTCAGTACAAACATTGTGTCTCAGGGGACCTTGGTTAGTTTATGTTCCTACTTGGAACATTGGCTTTTGGTGTCTTCATAGCTCATTTTGACAAAGTACAGGCTGTGGAGGACTTGGGCACCTGGTGAGCTGTGGGGGAGGGCAAATGCCTTTGTCTGCTGGGGTAGGGGTAGGGCTTAAGAGCTCAGGGAGAGAGCTCAGCTTCTGCTTGGTCTGAGCCTGAACTAGTGAGACAGACAGCAGGGCAGTTCCGGCTTCCGCCCCAGTCTTTTCCTGCCAGTCTGCAGTGCCAGCGTCTGAATGCCACGATCTTCCCCTCTGAGGACAACTAACAAGACACCTTAAATCCCAAGTCAGAATCTCAGAGAATTTTCCCCAGGGCGCACACAACAAATCTGGGGTGGGTTTGGAGGTGGGGAATCCATTTGTAAACCAGACCTAAAGATTCAGTGAGGTTAATGAATTTCCCTGTCCTGTTCGTTTCTGAAGGACTGTGTCCCAGATACATGCCTAAAAGAACCCTTGAAAATGTAACCTAGTCACGGGTGGTGTAAGAGTGAGATGGTCAGTGTCCCAGGCTACACACAACTCTTAAATATGAGTATATGGTATCCCCCTTTGAGTTCCAAATTTCCTGGGGACATGAGTATTGTTCTTTGGCACTTCAGTATGAGATGTGACTTCTGTCCCCTTTCCAGGTGTGCTGACTTAGGACAGGGCCTGGTGAGGAGGGACTGGGAAGGAAAGAGGAACTGGGACTGCTCAGCAGTGCAAAGATCAGGGTGGGGCTGCAGCTTTAACTATTTACTGGGCAGAAAGGAAGCTGCTCCCTTCTCCACAGGACAGGCTGTTTAGAGCCAGTTTGCTTTCGCTCTGGTTTTCTAGCATTTTAGAGGGGAGGGAGGCTGGCCTGCAATTCACTGTGTATTTTCTGCATGCCTCAAGCTCACAGCGCCCACAATAGGCTCCCAGGGTCAACACCCTGCTAGGCTCTTTGCAGCCCTTTGGGTGGAGATGGATGATCTCTGGTGGGGGTATTAGGGAAAATGAACTCACATCTGATTGGCTCAGTCATACCTGTCCCCTGTTTCTGTGACTTCTTACCAACCTGCTGTTGTGGCAGAGTAAGGATAGCTGAATGTCATCCTGTTTCCTGCCAAAGATAGACACCCTGAACACCAAGTTCCCTTCTAAGAGAATTTCCCCAGAGTCAGGGGTATAATTTGAGAAGAAGGAACTACCAGGTTAGTTAGACCCAGGAATCCCCCTCTTTGCCTACCATATGTTAGACACACGCAGTCATTCTCAGCATTTGATGTGGGTGCTGGAATCCAAATTCAGGTCCTCATGCTTGTACAACAAGCACTTTTCCTACAGAGCCCCCTCCCCAGCCACACAGACCCGAAGTCTGAATTCATGATGAGGCTGAGGGCCTGCCCAGCTAATCAGCAAAGACAGGCCTGGAGGTGCCCTGAAAGATTAGCAGAGCTAGTGACTTTCTTAACCCGCCAGTTTTCAACCAAAACTCATGAACAACAGCAAATCATGGCCCATACAAAAGCAGGCAGTTCATGGGCAGGATCTCGTTCTGAGAAAGGCAAGACCCCTAGGCAGTAGACAAAGTTGTTCACACACTTGAGGTGATGTCCACTTGTCGAAAATGAAATTGGGACTTTTCTCACACCACATTACGAAAGCCGACTACAAAATGAACTAAACATGTAAAGGTAAGATCAGAAAAAAAAATGTAGGAAATAGAAAAGCTACTAACAGAAGAGTTCTATGACATTGATTTTGGCAAAGGTCATTTGGATGTTACCTTGATTGGCTTTGCTGTCAATGTGACAGAACCTAGAAGGATTGAAGGATTGCCTGTATCTGATTGGCCTGTAGCCACATGTATGAGATTGTCTTGATAATTGATGAGAAGGCGCAGACCACTTTGGGTAGCCCCATTCTCTAGGCAGGGAGAATCAAACAGCAGAAGAAAGCCAGCCAGCCAACAACATCCTCCAGGGTTCCTGGTATATTTCTTTGGCTGTGAAGTAAGTTCTTTGTTCAGAGGTAATGTATGGAATAGCAGCAGGCCTGTCTTCAAGTTCCTGCTTTGACATCCCTCAGGGGTGGATAGTGATCTGGAAGCATTTGCAAGTAAACCTGTTTTATCCCAAAGTTGCTTATGGTCAGGATATTTGTCACAGCAACAGAGAGGAAACTAGTGCAGAGGTTTCCTAAGCCACAAGCAAGGGAGAAAAAAGTGTCCAATGTAGACCTGTGATTCCATCAAACTGTAATGTTCCTGCACAACAAAAGAAGCAATAAACAAACAGAGACAATCTACAGAGGGAGAAAAGATTTGTAACACAGTCTGATGAAGGGTTAAATAAGACTGAAAAATGGTGTAACTAAAGCCATGATACATAAAAGATGGAAACCACACAGATTCCTCTAAGGGTTTATTTAGAGGCAGCTGAATTCAATTTTAAGTACTGGAGAATGATAAGGGAAGATTAAAATGAGATTGAAAATTGGAAGGGCTTAACTACACTTGTAACATTGCATTTGAAAACCCAGTGGGCATATAAGTTCAGCTACTGAGTGCAAAGGCTGAGGGAAAGAACCTCTTCACCTGCACAGTGACCCGTCCTGTGGAACTTATTTACTTAGTCAAGGATTATGCTGTGGGTTTCACAGTACAGAACTTGCTCTCTCCAGGGTTTTTCTCATTCTAAAGGCTCTGTGTGTTTTACAGAAAAGAAATTCAGCTTGAAAATGCAAAGGCTGCTGGGGAAATGGCCATCACTGTTGATCTGGAAACAGACTATGCTAAGCTGGTTCTATATGTAGGAGCCATCACACTTGGGGAGAAGAACAGAAAGAAAATGAAGAACCCTCTCCTCAGAAAATGGGAGAGTGGAAACATCTCTCGAGCTGTGTGTGCTCTCCTGAACTCAGGAGGTGGGGCGATCAAGATTAAAATTAAAAATGAAAATTATAGCCTCAACAGGGATGGCCTGGGGCTGGATTTGGAAGCCTCTCTTTGTAAATGTCTACCATTTGTGGGGGAGCATGTAGACTTCATGGAGCGTGAAGGCTACTTTTACATCTTTGTGAAATCTTGGAGTGTGGACGTCTTTGGGCTGCCGATTGGCACCTTGAGAACCAGTTTGTACATAAGAACCTGGTCGTCCTCTGTTGAAGTGGTTGCCTCTGATGCTCTTGAGTTCCTCCAAGACCTGGAGGAAACTGGAGGGAGATCCTGTGTCAGAGCAGAGCCTCCTGTAAGCAGAGCCTGCCCTGGAGTTGAAGAAGAGAGTCTCCTCGAGGACCTGGCTGCTGCAGTTTTCAACAAGACCCAATTTCAGTACAAGGAAGACTTCCCCTTCAGCAGGTCAACCTACACTGAAGTGGCATTGCTTTCAGTGAAAGAGCTGCAAAAACACATTAGAGAACTCATTCCTCGAACGGTTTCTGCATTTGCAAACACTGAAGGGGGATATTTGTTCATTGGTTTGGATGCGAAAAAACAACAAATAATAGGTTTTGAAGCAGATGAGAGTGATCTTGCGCACCTAGAGAGTAAAATAGAGGAGTGCATCCGACAGCTGCCTGTCACTCACTTCTGTGAGGAGCAGGAGAAGATAAAGTACACATGCAAATTCATCCAAGTCCACAGACAGGGAGCTGTGTGTTCGTATGTCTGTGCGCTCAGAGTGGAGAGATTCTGCTGTGCTGTGTTCGCTGCAGAGCCAGATTGCTGGCACGTGGAAGGCAGCTGTGTGAAGAGGTTTACCACGGAGGAATGGGTCAAGAGCCTGATGGCTGGCAAGCCAGGCTCAGGCACCAATGGTGCATGAGTTCACACATGGCCACTGGGCATGTATTAGCTAATGCTTTCAGGGAATGCCTGGAACCTTCAACAATATCATTCTTTTTACTCTTTCACAGCTGAAGGACTTCATGACCACAAGTGGGCCAAACCTGCAAGTCCCTGAAACTCTGTAGCTGGAAAGGATTCCCCAGTGGAGATCTGCAGCCAACCAACCATTCCCTGCTGTGGACCTCCATTGAGACAAGGAAATGCATTCATAAGATCAGGCTTCAGCCGAACCTGTAGGACTTTTCTTTTTTTAACTTTGTATTCATTGGGTTGCATCCCAATTCCACTCATCTCCCCATCCCTCCATAGCTGCCCTCTGCCTTTGCAATCTCTAACTAAAAAGAGAACAATAAACAAAAAGCTAAATAAAGATTTACAATGAAAAAAATCTCACCATGGAAGCTGTGGTTTGTTACAGTGTATCACACAATAAACTCTTTTTCTCAAACATCTTTACTTGCAAATGTTTATTTCAATGAGATATTGGTCTAGTTGCAAGCTTCTGGCTTCTGCTACACTGGACCCCTTTCAGATATCCTATTGTAGTCCTGTGTCCTGGAGATCCTGCAACTATGGTTCTGCAGGACCAGCCCCTTCACTTGTTCAAAAGTTCACAGATGGGGTAGATGCTGGGGTGAGCCAACTTATCTCTGTGGATTTGGCCTGAGTGGTAGCTGAGATGGTCAGCCCACCCACTCTCCTGCACCTGTGCCACCAAGGCCAGCTCGCCACACTGCCCCTGTGAGTGACAGGACCAGCTCACCTGAGTGCTACAGCTGGTCATGGGTGGGGCTAACTTTCAGGCTCTGCTGCCCAGGAGAGCTGCATAGGACATTTCTTAACTAGTGATTGATGTGGGAGAGCCCAGCCTCTGCCTCGGCCTCTGACTCCATGTTCCTGCACGGTTTGAGTTTTTGTCCAGGCTTCCTTCAATGCTGACTACACTGTGGAAGAAGTGTAAGCCAAGTAAACCTTTCCTCCAAAACTTGCTTTTTGGTCATGGTGTGTCCATGCAGCAATAGAAACCCTAACTAAGACACATGCTTAGTGTCACATCTATGGGAAAATTCTTATTGTAGCCCACTGACTGTGGTCTCAGTGGTGGAGTGAGGAGGGTGGTATCATGGGTGGGTGAGGCCATGGCTGTGGGGGTGTGGGACAGACTGACAGGAGCAGGTTTTTGTTTGTTGAGAGTTTCTCTGTGTGGCCCTGCCTGTCTTGGAACTCACTCTATAGACCAGGCTGGCCTCACACTAAGAAACCTGCCTGCCTTTGCCATCTGAGTGCTGAGATTAAAGCTGTGTGCCACTACCACTGTCCCAAGGAAGGCATATTTTATCCCAACTGTATCTGTCAGTCTTCTTAGTGATACTGGGCTCAATCCCAGTATCACTCAGAATAGGTAAAGCAACATTAAAATAAAATCATATATAGAAATGAAAATCAAAGGCACCAACTGTACTTCCAGTTACCATAGAAACAATAATGTGCTCTCTACTGTGATAATGGCATGGCTAGAATGGGTTCATTCATTTTCCAATTGGATTTGAGGTCATCCCCTACCCAGGAAGGGAGCCTGTGTCTGATACTGAAAGCCAAGACAAAGGCCATGGTTGCCAAAGTCCCAGGTCTCAATCTCAAAGCACCTATTGCAGTTGTGAAACAGAAATGTGTTTTTCTAACTGCCTTGTAAATAGCGGTCCTTATGGGTTACCACTGCTGTCTGTCTCATAAAGACATTTTCTTTCCTTACAGTGGGGGTGTATACGACAAAGAATCACAGCTGCTCACAGTCATGAGTATATGTGACTACTGTTAGGACTCAGGGCACCAATGCTAATGCTAACAGTGGAGAAAATGAGCAGGTCTCAGTATCACCTGCTCCAAAGCTCTGGGGTCACAAAAGAGGTGGGAAAAAACAAAAGTTGTCATCTTCAAAGCCTTTTTTTTAAAGAATGACTCAGAATAAGCCTTAATTGTGATAAATGAATAGAAAAAAACATGTTTTATTTGTTTGTTTGTTTGTTTATTTATTTTGAGGTACGCTTGTGTAGTCCAGGCTAGTCTTGAACTCAGTAGGTCACAAAGGACAAGACAGAACTCATGATCATTTTGCCTCAACTTCACAAGTGTGGAGATTACGGTTGTGTGCCAATAGGCTTAGCTTTTTGATAAGAAAATCTAACTGTCATTTTCCAAATAAAGAAGTAACAGGGCAGTCATAAAAATCACTATCCCAGCCTTTCATAGACAGCAAAATCACAGTGTAGACAGCCCTAGCTGGGGTAGGGGGTGGGGTGGGGGTTAAAAGTCAATGAGTTTAGTGGAGTAGAGAGATGGTTCAGTGGTTACCAGCCCTTGTTGCTCTTACAGAAAACCAAGGTCAGTTCCCAACCTCACATGGTGCTTCAAAACTATCTGTAAATTCAGTTCCATAGGCCATAATCCCTCTTCTGACCTCTACAGGCAATGTACACACAGAGACACACAGATATCCATGCAAAGAGAACACTCATACACATGATATAAAACAGATGAATCTAAATATTTTAATCTAGTTCAGCAGGGTTTGATGACACATACTTATAACACTAAGAGGACAAGGCAGTAGAATTAAGAGCATAACAAGAGGCTATATAAGGTTCTAGAGTCAGGCTAAGATGCATCCAAAATCTTGTCTTAAATAAACAAAATAAGAAGTGTTTGCTGAGAGTATAACTTAGATGACCTAAGTTGAATCCCTATGAATCAATCCAGCCCCACCAAAGCCAATCAGTGTCTATTACACATTTATGGCTTCTAACTAGACACACTGACTGACTTTGCTATGCCAAACCACCTTCAAGGTGAAGCTCAGTGGCAAAAAAGCATATTAGCCGGTGCTAGCCCCATGTTTATTTATTTGAGATTTCCACACCAAAGCAAATCATGCTAAGTAAAACCTGTCTCAAATTTTTGTGAAAAATCTTTCTAGATAAAAATCAAAAATACTGCTTCCGTTGCATCTCTTAGAGATAAGATGATTATTCTAGATGTAAACCCTCTCTCAGCTGCCTTGTAGTAGAAAATCTTAAGTAATTATGTTGCTAACTCCCAGTGTAAGTGCTTGGTGACTTTTGGGAAATGACTTGCTGTGTCAGTACCATATTAACAAGAAGAACCATATCATGTAGGTGAAGCAAGCCACCAAGGGCTTCTAGAGAAAAGTAACCATAGCCACAAGGAACAGAGTGCCGAGCATCCAGTCCTGAGTCTCACGAGTGGTATCATGCAGTTGGCTACCCAGGGCACAGAGAGAAGAGGAATGATGGGAAGACCAAATGAATGTTGATGAATTGTCTTGGAACACTCAGGGCAGCACCATTCCTCAGCCCTTCCAGAAGCACTTTCTGCTGTTGTCCCATCTGGAGGTTCAGGTCTGGTTTGGCTCCATGGTCTCTTGATGTTTTAACCCATAGTCAACATCAATGTGAGATCATCTCCTCCATGCCAGCCAATTTCTGCATAAGGCTCAAGATTTCACTGTGGTAAAGTTCCATGTCACTGGATTTTCTTCTAACCTTCAGACCTGTATCACCCTCCAGTAAGGGCCTCACTATTAAGGAATAATCCCTCTGGTAATGTTTGTCAGTGTCTCCCAGGATGCTCCTGTCTGGCCTTGGATTCTCAGATCTCTTGGGCCTCATGAGGTAGTGCATCAGACCCTAATCCATGTGTGATTGGATGCTGACTTTGGAGCTCATTGGTCTTGCAGAGGTGACCATTGTCCATAGTGGTGCTGCAGGCTCCCAACACTCTTTTCACCTTTTTTTTTTAAGTTTTCTTTTTTTTTAATTTTTTATATAATTTATTTTTATTTTATGTTCATCGATGTTTTGCCTGCATATAAGTCTGTGTAAGGATGCCAGATCCTCTGGAACTGGAGTTACAGACAGTTGTGAGCTGCCATGTGGGTGCTGGGAATTGAACTCCGGTCCTCTGGAAAAGCAGCCAGGGCTCTTAACCATTGAGCCATCTCTCCAGCCCTCCCACCACTCTTAATGTGACACTAAAGCCATCAACCTGGCTGACACATGTGGGGTTTGACAATCACCCTCATGCTTTCTGTCAACGTCCACTGGCCTTAAGGATGGGGCTGTTATATGCTGTGGGAGGTGTTTTCCAAGATGACCAGTGACCCTTCTGAGCCCCGAGATGTGCCTTCTGCTGTTGACCACACAGATCCGGAGGAGCTGGGATAGCCGCATTTGTTGGTGCTTGAATTATTTTTTAGCCAACATATAATGTGCTTCACTGTGCATTCACACCCACATGCCACTGTACATCTGTCATGTTCATCGCCCCAGCGTCCTCCTTCCTGACTCCTGGACTCTCCTGAGGGTCACCTTACTCGTCCCTCAGTCCCCCTGTGGTGTCCATATATGTGTCCATATACAGAAGTGGATTCTGCAAATGAGAGAAAACATGTAACACTCATCATTCTTTGGCCCTCTCCATCTTCTCTCCCTTCTCTTCCTCCCACTTTTAGACAGGTCCTCACTCAACATGAAGTGAAGTTCCATATAGATGAGAAAATAAGAACTATTTGCATTTCTGGATCTGACTTATTTTATTTACCACGATGATTTTTTCTATTCCTTTCTGTTTTCCATCCTGCAAATGATATAATTTCATATTTTTACATCTGAATGACAGCCGGGCGTTGGTGGCGCACGCCTTTAATCCCAGCACTTGGGAGGCAGAGGCAGGCGGATCTCTGTGAGTTCGAGGCCAGCCTGGTCTACAAGAGTTAGTTCCAGAACAGCCTCCAAAGCCACAGAGAAACCCTGTCTCAAAAAACAAAAACAAAAACAAAACAAAAAAACCATCTGAATGACATACCATAATGTATGTATGAGTATGCATATGTTGCACATATGACATATATGATACCAATAAATGTTTGGCAACATGTGAGATGAAAGCTGAAATTTCAATTACTCAGGAAAGTGAGAAATTCTGACAGTGTCAGGTGTTGGAAAGCCTGTCCATCAAGGGCACGTGGGCATCTGGACGCAAGTTCATGTTGGTAGACCAAGTTTAGTTTCAAGGCCTTGGGCACCATTTCCTCTGAGGACCCAGCAGTGCAGGAGCATTCCAGTGATGGAAAGGCCAGACGACGGCAGGATGCATGCAGCATTGTTGCAGTAACTGCAGGTATGCAACAAAGGAGTGAAACCCGGCCATATGAATTAGCATTCATTCTACTTACAGGTGTTAAGGTGGGGGAGGAGGAGCAGGGGACAGAAAGCAGAAGCCTTGCTTCTGATCCATTAGCCTTCACCTGGGGTGTCTTGAGCACCCAAAGGCTCTTTTACTTGCCTGAGGTTGATGGTGGAGAAGCATCCACAGCTGGGGATTCTGAGGACCCTGTCTCCTGCCCCCTGGCCTTCCCTCTCCCCTCACCTTTGCCTAGCCTCTTGTCTACCTCCTCACTCCCTCTGTTTTCTTACTTCTCACTCCTCTCAACTGTACAGCTTCATCTTTCTCCTCATATCTTTTTTTTTTTTTTTTTTTTTTTTTTGGTTTTTCGAGACAGGGTTTCTCTGTAGCTTTGGAGGCTATCCTGGAACTCACTTTGTAGACCAGGCTGGCCTCGAACTCACAGAGATCCCCCTGCCTCTGCCTCCCGAGTGCTGGGATTAAAGGTGTGCACCACCAACGCCTGGCTCTTTCTCCTCATATCTTGTTTGTGGCTGTTGAATGCAGAGAATCAGAGAAACTTGTGTTACCATAATTATCCTAAGAGAGGGCACAAAGAAAAAGTGGCACATGAAACTTGTCTGCCTGCAGCAGCCCTTGGAGTCTCCCATAGCAACCCATCTTCCCTAAGAGCTAGGAGATGCAGCTTGTACCTTTGAGTCATCAGCCCGCTCTGCCTCCCCTGGCTCCCTCTCCCTCTCTATCCTCCTTTCCTGTAAGTTGTGACAAGTGTTCTTGCCTGTCCCTAGTGTCATCTGCTCTGTCTGGGTGCAGAGACAGTTTTACCCTGTGCATCTGGGCAAAGTTGTCAAGGCTGAGTTCCCAAGTCTAGAAGCACAGCTCTTCAATTTTGACAGGCTGAATGGCAATCAGAGAAAGGGATCAAAGAGCTTAGAGAGAGATCTCACACTTCCTGGATTGACGCTGTCCAATGAAACTCGGGTTCTCCAGTACTGACATCAGTACTGAGAGTGGAGGAATCAGTCCACACCGCAGAGGTACACAAACAGGAAAGGTTAGAGCGACCACAAGCACTGTAGCTTGGCATTCTTAAATCCAGTTACTGAGGACATCTGGTGACAGAGACCAAGCCCCTGCTGCGGGAGCCTATCCCAAGCTTGGACTTTCCTGTTTCACTGTAGTTTGGCATTCTTAAATCCAATTGCTGAGGACATCTGGTGTCAGAGACCAAGCCCCTGCTGCGGGAGCCTGTCCCAAGCTTGAACTTTCCTGTTTCATCCAGCAGGTGTCTACCGCACAGCCAACTCACAGCAGGCTTCAAGCCCCCGCCTGAGTTTCATTGGAGCAGCTCTTAGGTAAGTGAGCCATACTCCATGGCAGTGTTCTCCATATCAACAACTTTAGCCCTCTTTTTCTCCATGCCCACCCAGAATTCACTCTGCTAGATCTGGGATGAGGTGGGGAGGGGGCTTCCAGGACATCCCAGAGCCCTAGAGAGGAGCCTGGATGCTTTGTCTCCTTTCCGGGAACCTTGGCTCCTTGGTACTGCCACAGCCTCCTCACAGCTTCTGAGGGCTTGGAAGCTTTGGGAGCATGGAATGAGAGTGAAACCCCTCGGTCTGCTTGGGCTGGGTACTTCCAGACTCCTAATAGAGGGAGCCTGGGTGCTGATGGTCAAGGCGGGGCCAGTGAGGCAGGGAGAAGATTATGCATGTAGGTCAGACTTGTGTTGGTCTCCAATTCCCTCTGAGGGTGCTCTATCTTCTTGGAGACCCAATTCTGTCCACACGAGGCAGGGAGGAACCGTGCCCTCAAACTAAAGAGATCTAAAAACCTGAGAGCCCTGGACATTTTTAAATCTAGAATGGAGCCATTATCTTCCAAGTCAGAGACAAAGCATCATCCTAGCAGGGAATGAACCAGGGTTATTTGTTTCCCAAGAGACAGGTGCTTTCACTCCTATGTCCCCCCCCCACCTCATTCTGTGCTTTTCTGTCAGCCTGCAGTGATTGCAGAATTAGGGGCATCTGCTGTCTGAATGCTGTCCATTTCCCGCTAAAGACAACAACAGTCAAAGTCCTGAATTCAGCTCTGAGAGACTTTTCTCCAGTGAGCACTCTAAAGAATTTTAAAAGAAACAACTATTGTTTAAACCAAAGCAAACTTTGTGGGAGATCAGTGAGTTTCATTCAGGGACCAGAATTGGTGGGCTCCAGAGTCCAGCTTAGTAGTTAAGGACTGTTTTCCAGATAGATGCCCAGGGGAGAGAGTTTAAATCATAAAAAACTTTCATACTCACAGATGTTGAAGTGAGATAGCCCTGATTCCAGACTAGCCCACAGATTCCCTATAAGATGATACTTCTACAATCCCCTTGAGTTCCAAATTTGCCAAGGACATGAGCATTCTCCTTCAGGATTTTGGGACAAGTTGTGGGTCCTGTCTCCTTTAGATATTGGCAAGGGAACCAGGTGTGCTGGCTTCAGACAGGGTCTGATTCAGGGGGTGCTGAATGAGAGGGTCTGGGAGGAAATGAGGAACAGATTCTGCTCAGGAATGCGTAGAACAGGGTGGGGCTGCAGCTTCTAACTGGGAAGAAACGAAACTGTATTTCCTGTGGCCTTATTACACTTTCAGTTTTGTTTTAGTCTGCTATCCCTGTCTCTTCCCTTCTTATACCCCCCACCCCAATGCCTACCCTGCAAGCAAACTGTAGTATAATAGACAGAATCTTGCTAAAATATAGCACAGGTTGTCTTCAAACTCAGTTTCCAAATGCTGAGATGACAGGCATTCACCCCCTTCCCCCCACACACACCCAGATCCCTGCTTCCCTTTCTGTGAGGATGAAGATATCTTCTGGCAGGCCCTGGGGGAAAATGGTCCCAAGTGTGGGGCAGCCCTCCCATGGAGGAAATAGGAGCCAGGCAACCTGAACTCACTATAATGAGGAGAAGAAATCAGCACCACACAAGCAGATATCTCTTCCTGCTGTCTTGGCACAGCATTGTCACACTGAGACTATTGTAGAGCTTTGAACTTAACACAGATGGCTGTGTCTGCCTGGCCCCATTGGTGTTCCTGGGCCAGGAGTTAGGACTTCTGCCTGAACCTCACTTCCTCTGGAATGTCTTGTGGTCAGGTTCAAAAGCTTTCTTCCCGAGGGCCTCTTTGAATGAAGATCTGCCAAGAAGGCACCTTCAAGTTCCTAGGCAACCCTGAGGGATGCTGTGCATGGTGCAGTTTCTTCTAGATTGGAGTCTCCTAAATGTATTAGATGAAGCCCTGTAGACTTGCCCAAGATAAACATTGTAAAGACTGATGCCATCCTCCAGGGAAGCATTTGCTAGTTCATTTCCAAATCCTCAGCTGTCTCATTACTTGAACCAGTAGCCCTGACTTCAGAAGCATCTATCTCCACGCACACAGATGTATGAGCTCAGATGATGCTTAACTACTTTACATACCTGAGGCAGAAGGCCCCAGTATGGCCTCATGGTTTAGCCTAAGTCTTCATTTCTAGAAATTCCAACTCCTTCATCACATGATTTTGCTCTTCCAGGAGTCTGGCTCCATTCTATCTACCTGTTCTAGCTTCCCACCCCATTCCAGCATGTCTTTATAGATTCATGAACTATACTGTGTATAGGACTGGGACTCCATGAGGAAACTCTTGGGCTTAGTGGAAATCAGATGTGACTAGCATGCCCAAGCCTCAGTCACACTGAACCATGATACTAGTGTAGTTATGGTAACAAGGCACTCCTTTACTAATACATAATACTACACATGGGATTATGCTGCAAGTTAGAGTCATTTTAAAAATTAACTATAACTATACAAAACTGATTGTGAATAATATGCGATCCCATGGAAAAGCAAGATTCCAAATTTCTCCTTCAGTTTCTGTTAGGCTGCCAAATCATGATGAGTTCATGTTCGTAAAATGTTGAATCTGTATAATATTTTACTTTACATATACATTGGGGATTCACCCAGGGTGCAGTACTTATCAGGAAAGTGCCCTTTCACTGAGCCTGCCCCATCCTCAAGTGTCATTTTATGTTGCTGTTACACGTGATACAATCATCCACTCATAACAACAGGAGGAAGAACCTATAGATGCAGAGTTTAAAACAAATACCAGAAAATTAACTTCAGTGCTAGGGAACAGAATAATAGGATGTTTCTATGGTCACAGTTATTCAGGAGACCGAGGCAGGAGGATTGCTTAGGAGTTAGAGCTCATGCTAGGCAGGAAGGACAGCCCTCCTGAGTTCTCTTTCTTCCACAGAAACATTGAAAATCCAGAAACCCACTGAGTTAAAAGCCGGAGGTTGATGGTAACAATATGCATACCCAATCAAGAAGAAGCCACATTCAAAACTGGGAGATGTCAGGCTGGAAAGGTGGCTCAGCGTTTAAGAGCACTGGCTGTGCAGCCGGGCATTGGTAGCGCACGCCTTTAATCCTAGCACTCGGGAGGCAGAAGCACGCAGATCTCTGTGAGTTCGAGGCCAGCCTGGTCTACAGAGAGAGTTCTAGGACAGCCTCCAAAACAATACATAGAAACTCTGTCTGGAAAAACCAAAAAAAAAAAAAAAAAAGCACTGCCTGTTCTTACAGAGGATGGGGGATCCTCAGAAGATCTGAATCTGGCTTCTGGCTTTTGCGAACACCACACACATGGAAAAAGATACACATATATGCAAAACACCCATATGTGAAAAATAGCACCAACAAAATTAGTTGACAAACATCACATCCTTTTAGTTCTCTGCCTGCAGGAAATATGGATCCTGATGGCTCTTAAAAGGAAAAGACCAGTGGGAGAGATGCACAGAGACTGAGGCTGCTGCCTGTGTCATTCTGCCTGATATGACAAAGTGACACAGGCTTGGTGGGTTATGAATAATAGACATCTTGTTCTTGCAGTGTAGAGAGCAGAAGTGCAAAATGAAGACGCCATCATGGTCAGGGTCTAGAGACAATTCTATTTTCTTTGAAGACTGCCAGTGTTTCAGGGTGAAATGATGTAGTGTAGGTGAGCTTAGCTGTCTTCAGTACCTTTTGTCAGAACCCTGAGTCCATTAGATGACTCTGCCTTCATGACTTATTAACTTCCCATAGGCCTCATCACCAACGGTGATGAGGAACTACAGCATGAATTTTGAAAGGAAGATGGCACTGGGGGCTAGTGATTCTGTGTTAACCATAAGAACCCCACTTCACTGGAAATATGTGGGTGTCTAATAGGAAAAGAGGGCCACAACCCGCTCCACACTCTTCAAGATCAATGGTCAAAGTTTGTGAATGAAATTTATTCCCAGAAAGAAGAAAGATAATTCATCTGCTCTATTGTTCTGTCCCTCGATCCCCAGGGGCAATTTTGCTAAGAGACTCTTCGTGAAAGTAGACAACTGATGAGTGAACATCTGAAATTATTTTTTAAAATAAGTAGAAATGGTTTTATGATAAATCTCTAGTTCTAAAAAAAAGCAAAAAACAAAAACAAACCCAAAATATAGGTAAATTGTCCTTGCAGTTTATTGAAAAAAAAGATGTAGAATTCAAATTACATTATATTGAATAAAAGGAGATAAATCACTGATAAAATGAGGTTAAAATACAGAAGGATCATAATGACCCACAGAAAAATACCTAAGAACTCAATACATGTATATGTTATCACGATCTAAAAATCTACCCCCAAATAACCTATTCCCCTGCCCTGCACACTGACCAGTTCCATGGAACACATCCAGCAAACAATTTTGCTGTTAGCTTCTCAGTACAGAATTTGCTCTGCCTCTTCAGCCTTATTCTAATGGCTCTGTCTGCCTTACAGGAAGAATTTCAGCTTGGGGACAGAATGGCTGCTAAGAAAATGGACATCATTGTTGATCCTAAAAGCCCTTCTGGTGAGGTGGTTCTAAATGTAGGAGAAGTCACTCTTGGAATAAAAAGTAGGGAGAAAATGCAGGAAACTCAGAAGAAAAACCAGAGAGCAAGCATTTTAAAAGCTGTGTGTGCTCTGCTGAATTCTGAAGGGGGCGTGGTCAAGGCTCAAATTGAAAATCAGGACTATAATTTCAACAAACATGGACTAGGGGAAGATTTGGATACCTCCTTTAAGGCTATTCTGCCACTTGTTCAGTACCACCTAGACTTCAAGCAGAAAGGATGCCACTTTTTCATCTCTGTGAAGTCATTCAGTTCAGGTATCTTTGGTTTGCAGTTTGCCACCATTGCGACCAATTTGTACATGAGAAATGGGGCCTCCTGTGTTCAAATGGACTTGAATACTGCTCTGCAATTCTTGGAAGACATAAAAAACCTTGGATTAGGATCCCCAGTAAAAACAAGTTTGCTTGACGAAAGGCCTGGAGAAAACGTACAGGAAGATCTCCACGTGCAAGAAGAATTGCATGTGCAAGACATAAAAAACCTTAGATTAGGATCCCCAGTAAAAACAAGGTTGTTTGACGAAAGGCCTAGAAAAATCGTTCAGGAAGATCTCCACGTGCAAGAAGAATTGCACGTGCAGAGGCTGGCTGCTGCTTTTTTTAACCAGACAGTGCTCATAGAAATGGCAGATTTCTCCTTTAGCGAATCCAAAAATGTTGAATATAAATCATTTGAAACAGATAATGTGGTAAAACGAGTTAAAGAGATTCTCCCTCAAACCGTCTCTGCATTTGCCAACACTGACGGAGGATATCTGTTTATTGGTTTGGATGAAAAGAAAAAACAAATAATTGGTTTTAAAGCAGATAAGAGAAAGGAGCTAGAGAAGGAGCTAGAGAAGGAAATAGAGAAGCTGCCTGTCACTCACTTCTGTGAGGAGCAGGCGAAGATCAAGTACACGTGCAAATTCATCCCAGTCCGCAGACAGGGAGCTGTGTGTTCGTATGTCTGTGCGCTCAGAGTGGAGAGATTCTGCTGTGCTGTGTTCGCTGCAGAACCCGATTCCTGGCACGTGGAAGGCAGCCGCGTGAGGAGGTTTACCACGGAGGAATGGGTCAGGCTCCAGATGGCTAAAAGTTTAGGGTCAAGAAGGGAAATTAACGTTTAGAATACATTTAGCTAGTTAAGTTGGAAGACTTTCTCTTTAGGTTTGGGGGCAATATCTTGAGTCCTGACTTTACTAGGTGATCCACAGTGGAGCCCTGAAGTCTCAACTGCTTCTGCCACCTCCCTGGGGCATAGATTCCTCACACCCTGGGTATTACTCCACCTACCTCTACGCCTGTGTGAAGAGAGCCTCTCCATCTCCCCCCTCGGGCTCCGACCCAGGCAGTAGGCATGTCTTCCGTCATCCTTGCCTCCGTTGTTTGCCGCTTCACTCCCCACCCGTTTCCCGTTGACTTTTCTCCCTGAGCCCTCTTCCCTTTCAGTCACATTACAGGATACACAGCCCTAGAGTCGATGATGAGAAATGTGCCTTGCTGGTGTGCCAGCTTTGCAAATGAGGCCAGACCGGCACCAGAAACTCCAAGTCTACGCTGCTCCCAGCAGCTGATGCCATCTCCTCCCAAGCTCACCACTGCTTCATTGGCCTCCCATCTTCTGTTTTCCACAGCTTTTCAATAAATGATAGATAGATAGATAGATAGATAGATAGATAGATAGATAGATAGATAGACAGACAGACAAAGAAAAGCGTCAGCAATGCACTCACAGTGAACACTCTTCTTTGTGAAAAACTGTCCATTGATTTGGGGCCCCATCAGCTCTAGTTTAGAACTGAGAAAGTTTTCATTTTAAATGACAAACATCCTTTGGAAAATCATGGAGCTAATAAATTCCAAACAAAATGATTCCTCTTAGGTACTAAAACCTTTTCTCTGAAGCCTAACGGTTACTCAAGAAGTGAGCTACATAGCAGGAGATGTTCAGAGAAATGCATTATCTACACTAAGAAATTTAAAAACTTAATTGTCACCAAAAATTCTGTAGGGCCGCTCTACAGAAAGATTAAAAAGTAGAGAACCATGAAAGAAAACCCATTCTTGTTCTGCCTAATCCAACAGGACGAACCCCAGTTGCTCTTCACTATCTTTGTCTCTATTTCCAGCTGCATTTTGGCTGAGTTGTCATCATAGGCACTCTCCACCTGCTGCCTGTTTGGGCTGATGTTCCACAGCCCCTTCCCACTCTGCAGTCTCCCAAAAGGCAGACAGAGCGTCTTCCAGGTCACAACCTAGGCACAGCAGGTCCTTGGTGACTATGAGCAGGGAGGGGCTGGCAGTGCAGCATGTCTTCTGTGTTCTGCTGGATTAATGCCACAGCCTGAGCTAAGGCCTATGGGAGAGGAAGAAGGTGTGTGTTAAGCATTTCATTTCATGAAGTCTTAAAGCCCAGGGCAAGGGATCGTTCCAGCACTTCAGCACAGAGCAAAGCAATACAGAAATATTCTTCTTCCCTCATTTCTCCCATGGGTCTCTGTGAGAAGACGGCATGGATGACAATTGTGTGTTTCATGAAGAGTGGCAGTTGCTAAGTACAGAATCCTGGAGGTGTAAGCCGATCCTGGCTCACCCAAAGTTACTAGGCAGTGGTCGCATATGCCACCCCAATATATGCTGTTTGGCATTATTTGAGTTAAAGTCAACTGAAAAACTGCAGATGCTAGAGAGACAATCTCATTTTTTCCCCTCCTGCAAACAGGAGAGGAAAACTGCCTTGTGCAAGATGCCCTACTTACAGCAAAGAAACATGCTTCCATGGGAATTTCAGGGAAGAGCATTCTATACCGATCACCTTTCTTATTTATATTCCCTCTCTCACCCCATTCTCCCTTTGCTCCTTCCTTCATATTCTCCCATCCAACATCCTTTTTCCCTCCTCTTCTTAGTCTCTTTTCCTTCTTTCCCTTCAGTCCTGTTCTTCCTTCCTGTGGGAACAACAGACCTTGGGCAGAGACCCACTTCCCCATCAGCCTGGGAGTTGGCAGCTATAAGACAATGTTTACTAAAAACATGTTTACTAAAAACAATACAATGCCTGGGGCAATAAGTTCCTGAAAAGGGCTTGCCCACAGGAAGCACCCTGACCTGGACCTTTTCCAAAGACTAACTGCCTCTTCAGAACCACCCACTACCACCTCTGGTGTCAGGGTATATAATAACCAGCCAGAGTAGGAATAAAGGAGAGCCTTCTTGAGGAGCCTTCGGGTCGGTATTGCCAATCCTCGACACCCTCGCCACATTCTCGGACTCAGGCTGCGCAGCAGGCGAGGCACCTTCCAGGATTCCAAAATTCTTCCTGAATTCTTTGTGAGAGAAAATCATCCATACTTCTCATTCCAGGACTGGCTTATTTCACTCAGCACAAGGATTTCAGGTTACAGCCTCTCTCTTGGCAAAGACAGCATTACTTCATTTTCATGTGGTTAAATTAACCCTCATTGTAAACAAGGTCACATTTCCTCATCTATTCCTCTGTTGATGGGCAACTGTCCTATTTCCTCATCTGGTCGGTTGTGAACAGTTCTCCAGGTGACATGGATATGCTGGTTGTGAACAGTTCTCCAGGTGACATGGATATGCCGGTTGTGAACAGTTCTCCAGGTGACATGGATATGCCGGTTGTGAACAGTTCTCCAGGTGACATGGATATGCCGGTTGTGAACAGTTCTCCAGGTGACATGGATATGTCGGTTGTGAACAGTTCTCCAGGTGACATGGATATGCCGGTGTCCCTGTCCTCTGCTGACTTGGATTCCTTCAGGCTTTGACACAGGATTGGTGTAGACTCATCCTGTGATAGGTGTTTTGTTTTTCAGTAATCTCCACACAGTTTTGTTTTATGATTGCACTAATTTACACATACATACAGTAAACTGTTATTGTCGTCTAGGGAATGGACCAGGGCAAGAACATGAAGAGAGGAATATTTCTGTTGTTATTCTAGTATTTTTTTAAAACTGACTTTCATGTTTCTTGACAATTTCTTACATTGAACAAAGTATCTTGAGCATATCAAACTCCAACTGCTCCTGAGATGTGTCCTTCCCATCTTCCCCCTCATCTCTTTAAAACACAATCCACTGAGACTGGTAAGTGTTGCCTGCTTAAGCATGGGCAAACTACCAGGAGCCACATCTCTGAACAAAAATGATTGCCCCTTGTGCTAAATAGTTTTATATTAGCCTGAGACCAGCTAGTCATCTGAGATAAGGGAACCTCAATTAAGAAAATATCTGCATAAGACTGGGCTGTCAGTTTTCCTGTAGGGCATTTTCTTAATTTGTGATTGACAGAGGAGGGCCAGCTATGCCTCCACTGGTGGTCCTGGGTTCCATAACAAAGCAGGCTGAGCAGTCATGAGGAGCAAGCCAGTAAGCAGCACCCCTCCATGGACTCTACATCAGCTCCTGCCTCAAGGTTCCTGCCTTGTTTGAGTTCCTATCCTAATTTCCTTTAATTACAGATTACAATGTAGAAGTGTAAACCAAATAAACCCTTTCCTCCCCAATCTGCTTTGGTCTTGGTGTTTCATCACAGCAATAGAAACCCTACCTAAGACCCTGTTGCCAGAAGCCGCCAGTTACCAATAGCTTCTCTAGGATAGAGGCTCATGATTCCCTTCCCATCCACACTGGAATTATTGACTGGCTTGACCTTGAGCATGTCTTAAAGAGATACTCACAGTTGCTCTGGGTTCATGAGTACAGCAGCCCAGAAACGGCATTTCACAGAACTGGGAGGGTATTTTAAAACATTTTCAGACTTTGATTCACTGTGTAGGTCAGGCTAGGCTTAAACTCACTATGTAGCCCAGAATGACCTCCAACATGCAGCAATCCCCATAGCTCAGCATCCCAGACTGCTGGGACTGAAGGAGAGAGCCTCCACACCAGGTTTCGGGAGTTACCTTGTGTGTCCAATAATCCTGAGTGGTTCAAGAAGTGTTTTTAGTAAGGAAATGGAGAAAGTAAACAAAACTAAGAAGAAAGGACAAAACTGTTAGAGCCAACGAGAATCAGTCAGGCCATCTCCTTGTCTACTTACCCTTTCTAGCAGCCTCCATGACCCTGAGAAATGAAGTTGGAGCCCAGTGAAGCTCCCACTGGACCACCACTTACTAATGTGGCTATCTTTTGCTCTTTCTCTTTTCATTTTGGAGCCTGTCCTGGAACTCGTCCTGTAGACCAGGTTGGCCTCGAACTCACAGAGATCCACCTGCCTATGCCTCCTAAGTGCTGGGATTAAAGGTGTGTGCCTCCAACACTTGGTTTCCATGTAGCTCTTAGTACTATAGCATCACCGTGAGTTTCTGCCACTGGCCACAGTGACCGGCTGCTCCCTCCACAGCCACCCTGGTCTCAACTCTTTTGACATATTTTAGCTTCTGTCTATAGGGATGGAGAGAATTTCTCCAGAACAGATTAGCAATCAATTTGTATGGCAGGACAACTTTTGGCATGTCATGGGAGCTGGGTCAGAGCTGTCACAGAGCAGATTAGTCCCCAGCCTCGGTCCCTGATGAAATCTTTGGCTATTTTACAAAGGAGCAGTTCCAGGCTGCTCCCCAGACACACGTGACTCCTACTGTGAGATGCTGCTGTGAGATTATTCAAATGTCCCATAGATGTCACACATGTGCAGGACATTAAACCCCTCACTTCTGATTGTAATCATGAGGTTGGTGAAATGCAGGTATAGAGCCAACTCATGGGAGAGGTGGTGTTCATTTTTCTTTATGAATATTTTGTCTTTTCATCTTCCTCCCCATGATGACACTAAGGCATTCCTTTGGAGTTTGTAAACAATCCCTCCAGTGGCTTGGAATGTGGTTCAGTATTAGAGTGAGCTCTGAATATGGGTGAGGTTTTTGGATTCTTTCCCAACCCATATGTTAGGGCAAAGAATAAGAAAGAACTTTTGTTTTGTTTATGATACAGGGTTTCTCAATGTAGCCTTGGCTGCCCTGTAGACTAGACTGGCCTGGAACACACTGAGATCAGCCTGCCTCTGCCTCCTGAGTGCTAGGAAGAAAGATTTTTTTAAAGCACAGGGGCAAGGGAAGGGGGACGACACGACGATGACACAGAGAGTCAGACAGAGAGACAGACAGACATTGAGAATAAAGACCACTATCACAAGTTATCAGGATAGTCTGTGTAAAGACAAAAATCTTCTAATTCAATGGTTCTCAGTCTCCGTAACACTGTGACCCTTTAATACAGTTGTGGGGACCCCAACCATAAAATTATATTCATTGGTACTTAGTAAGTGTAGTTTCGTTACTACTATGCATCATAATGTAAAACATCTGTGTTTTCTGAGGGTCTTAGGCCACCTCTTTGAAAGGGTCCTCCAACTCCCAAAGGGGTTGAGAGCCACAGCTTGAGAACTGCTGTTGTCAGGGAAAGTGAAATTCCTCCTTGAGTCACAGACCCACTGACCTGTGGCACCCGGGGAAGAAAACATGAGGACAAGAGATCTTCACGCATTGCTAGATACCCAAGGTGAAGCTGACAAAGCCTGTGTGGTCTGGGATGGCTCCTAAAGAGGCACTCACACTAACAGACATCTTAGTCAATTTGTCTTGAAGCCATTTCGAGTCAGCACTTGCTCTCACTGACTGCTTGAGACCCGGGAAAATGTTCTCTGTGGTTACAAATCTAAGTTCTGGGGTGTGGCAATATCTTGATTGTACTCTAACAAATAAGGCCTGCGTGATGATCAGAGGGTGGAGCTAGCAACTAGCTAACCAAGGAAGTGACAGGAAGTGATATGGCTGGGTGGAGAGAAGAATATTGGCAGGAAGAAAAAGGAAGTCGCCCTTTTTTCGGCTGGAGCATTGAGGAGGTAAGGTAGGGCTGGGGTTTGCTCTTTTGTCTCTCTAATCTTCCATCATTTTCCCCTATATCTGACTCTAGGCTTTTCTTATTAATACCTGTTAGAACTCATGCTACACTGGGAACATACAACAAGATGAAATATGAATAATATTCTGCTTGTGACAATACTACAAAAGGGACAGAAGGCAAACAGAGACTGTTCTAGGGGAGGCAGTGTATCACACCCACAAACAAATTCATGGAAGTCATGGGAAAGAACCAGATCTCTCAGTCTGTTTCTTGTCTGTCTCTCTGTCTCTATCTCTGTCTCTGTCTCTGTGTCTGTCTCTCTCTCTGTTTCTCTCTCTCTCTGTTTCTCTCTCTCTCTGTTTCTGGTGTGTGTGTGTGTGTGTGTGTGTGTGTGTGTGTTAAGAGAATGACACCAGACTTCAGACTTACTAGGTAAATCTATCTGGGCTCCACCCCTAATCAGAGCAGGAAATTTTTGACAGATTCCTTGCAGATTCTGTTGTAAAATGATGAAATTGAAAAAAAAATGGAGAACTGAAATATTTACAAAGTAGTAAGTCAAGACTGGCAAACATAAATATTAAATTAAACTGTGTGTGGAGGCAAAGATAAAAATTACTAGAGAGAAGGAGGTATAAAGTACAGTGATAGAAAGTGTGCGTAGCATGAAATGTACAAACACACAGAGAGACACAGATCACACACACACACAGAGAGAGAGAGAGAGAGAGAGAGAGAGAGAGAGAGAGAGAGAGGAAAGTGGAAGAGGAGGCGAGGAGGAAGAGACTAACAAGAAGGGGAAAAGAAACCATCACAGTTCTCTCATATATGAAAGGTAGATTGACTTGTGGCATATGGTGGATGAAGGAAGTAAATTAGGAGAATAGTGAGGGAGGGGACAGACATTAGGGAGGATAATGGGGCAAGGGATAAAGCTATACACACATGGGAACTGCAGAAGCATTCCTTTATTTTGAGCATTAATTAACTTAAAAGCATTAACTATTTAAAAAAAAAGAAAAAACTGAGATAAAACCCAGTCAGACCTGGGGGCACATGCTTATGATCCCAACACTTGGAGTGGGGGTGGGGAATGGTGGCAGAAGGATCAGGAGTTCCAAGTCCTGGCAGGTAAATCACAGTCCAAGGACAGCCAGGGCTACCTGAGACTGTCTCATCACAAAAGAAACTGATGAACACTGTTAGTGTTCATCCAAACGTTTCCCCCTCCTTGCTCTGCCAGGGACTCAGTGAGTGGTTCTTTTGATACTGTTTCTTGAGTCTCAAGCTGGAGCTACTGAACGTCACACTGACTGGAAAGAGATGACTATTGCCCAACAGGAAGTAGCCTTTGCTTCTTGAAGTTAGAAGGGTGGAGACAGAGGAGGCCTGAGAACTGTGCTTTCGTTTCCTAAGAAACAAAACCTTGGAAAGTTAGGGAAATGGAAAGGATGCCAACCTCAACCTTTTGGCTGGATTTGCATTGCCTTGAAGAACAGAATGGGGCTGTGACTTTCTCAAACCTTGGGCCTGCATCAGACAGTATCTGATTCTTGACAAATCAGGATTTCTGGACTTTCTTCTCTTTCAACATCTAATACTGTGGGTTTTTTTTTTTTTATTTCACACGCAGGTTTCTTGCTCTAATTCTCTTCGAGATGGGAAAACATATTCATATATAATTATGAATAATTCATCAAGTAAGGAGTTGGTGACATTTTCTGTCTCTACCATAGCAGTGACTGGAGCATACTCACTCATTTTCTTACCCAGGCAGACCCTACCTTTCCCTGACAGTGAGAGTCTAGGCTGAACCCCCACCAGCAGGCAGTTGAGGCTGGAGTGGAGCTCCATAGAAACAGTGCACCCAAGCCGGGCGTTGGTGGCGCACGCCTTTAATCCCAGCACTCGGGAGGCAGAGGCAGGCGGATCTCTGTGAGTTCCAGACCAGCCTGGACTACCAAGCGAGTTCCAGGACAGCCTCCAAAGCCACAGAGAAACCCTGTCTCGAAAAACCAAAAAAAAAAAAAAAAAAAAAAAAAAAAAAAAAAAGAAAGAAACAGTGCACCCCCACAGAGTTCCCAGTGAGCTGGACAGTTTTTGTTTTGTTTTGTTTTTTCGAGACAAGATTTCTCTGTATTGTTTTGGAAGCTGTCCTGGAACTCACTCTGTAGACCAGGCCGGCCTCGAACTCTCAGAGATCCACCTGCCTCTGCCTCCCGAGTGCTGGGATTAAAGGTGTGCGCCACCAATGCCCAGCCGAGCTGGACATTTTGTCTCCTGTGTATCCAAACTGAGGTCTCTGCTGGCACTGGAAATGACAGAGCTTAAAGGGATGAGTATAACCAAAGCTTGTCATTTGATTTAAGGAAAATGTCACAGGAAAGCACAATCATTGTAAAATATGTATGCACTAAACCACACCCCAATGCCAACAAAAAGTTTGTGTTATCCTGAGATTACACACAGGCACAGAGCTAGAAAAACGTGCATTGATGCATTGCTAAAGAAAACAAAGCCGGATGGGAGGGAGAGGAAGCTGGGATTGACCTGTGAAACAAGCTTGTTTCTAATTTAAATTTAAAAAGAAAAGAAAGCTTGAAACTGCTTAGGGCCACTGGAGCCTTTTCTTGCAGTGCCAAGGGGGTGCCCTCTGCCTGACTGGTGCAGCCGCCCTCTGCAGCCCTTCCTTCTCAGGAGGCCACTGCTCTCCTCCTCCCACCCGTCCAGCACCTGCTCTTGAAGCACTGGGACTTAGGCTGCTCATGGAAGCTGGTGAAGATGGAAGGCTGGGGCTCCTGCTAAGACACTACAAACACTTCATTTCTTTTCAATAAAATTAAATTCTTCCACGAAGGTATTTACTATATGCGACAAGTTTCCCTTTACCTCTACCTGTGTTCACCCTTCTCCTCCCATCTTTGCCCCAAGCCCCACCACGTAGTTTCCACTTCTGTTTGCATATTGTTCTGTTAGTTCTTGTTTTCGTCCATTTCAAGCAGAATTGCAAAAAGCACGGAAGTTCCCCTTTCAGACTTCCTGGAGTGACTAAACGCTCAAAGTCCAAGAGTAGCAACACCGTTTCAATCGTAAAACTAGTCCGCTTCACGTCACCAAGCATTCACACCTTGACAGTATGTTGGTCAATTGCTGTCCATTTCTGGACATCCAGATGACACTGCCTGTCCATCTAGAAAAGGAAAACAACTGGAAGCCTTCCAGTATTTTGTGTTTCAAGAAACTCAGCTTCTAGGACACAGAATAAGTAAACCAGGCCCATTGTAGAATATTGGACTCTATCCCCATCATCCTTCTCTTCCTTTCCCCGCCCAATGTCAAGTCCTGTATACTCACTGGTTGTGGGTGGATGTGGGGTGGAGGAGTTACCAGCATAACCCATCCCTATCAGTAAACCCAACCTGGTTAGGAATCTTGGCTTCTTGACATCTCCAGAGCCTCTTCTGTCAAAGCACAGGCTGCTGAGGACTTGGAGTCATCAGAGCTGTGGTGAGAGCAAATGCCTCCCCCTCTGTGAGATAAAGGGAGGGCTTAAGGTAGATGGAAGAGCACCCATCATGTTTGTTCAGAGGCTTGTTGGAGAGGTAGGACCAGGGGGGTCATGGTGGGGTATGAATGTCAGGCTTGTGTGAATCTACAGAATCCCTTGAGGGTTCTATATCCTCTTAGAAACCTGACTGTGTTGCATGGTAAGAAAACATGGCTCCAGGACGGGGAGGAGCAGAACACTAGAGTCAGAAAGAAACCAGCCCCTGAGGAATTTTGCCAAGGGAAATGCACCATGCCAACCCAGGAGAGAAGAGTGGTCTAGCCTTGGGTTGTTTTGCTTTGTTCCACAGACAGTAGGTCCTTCCTCTCCTGGACCCTCTTTCTGTGCTTTCTAACCAACCTGCAATTGTGGCAGAGTAAGTGCATCAGACTGTCATACTCTTTCCCACCAAAAATAGGTGACTAGACACCTTAAACCCCAAGTTCCTTTCTGAGAGAATTTGCCCAAAGTCAGTGCTACAATTTGAGAGGGGACTACCTGGTAAATGAGACCCAAAGCTGCAGGAGTTCAGTGAGCTTTACTTCAGTCTTGGAATTTGGTGAGCTCTGGTGTGTGCCTTGGGTTGAAGGATTGTGTCTCAGCTGTGTGCCTGAAGGTAGTGGGTATGAATCATAGATGGTTTTGACAGCTAGGGTCTTGATATGAGATGATCAGTGTCCCAGGCTAGCCCACAACTCCTCTAAATGTGACTGCACTGTAGGACTCTCGAGTTTTAATAATCTCAGGGGCATTGTCCTTTTACACTGTGGTGTGAGGTAAGACTTCTGTCCCCTTTCCATGGGGACATTGATCGAGGGTGCGTGCTTAGAACAGGGCCTTATGAGGAGGGTGCTGGACAGGAGGGACTGGGAAGGAAAGAGGAACTGAGACTGCTCAGCAGTGCAAAGATCAGGGTGGGGCTGCAGCTTTAACTATTTACTGGGCAGAAAGGAAGCTGCTCCCTTCTCCACAGGACAGGCTGTTTAGAGCCAGTTTGCTTTGATTGGAGTTTTGCTTGTGTATTTTAGAGGGGAGAGGGGGCAGAGAGTGTCTTGGTGTGTACCCCAGGCTGGCCTGTAATTTGCTGTGTATGTTGGACATGGCTCAAACTCACAATGCCCACAAGAGGCTCCCAGGGGCAACACCACAGGCCTGTCCCCTTGCAGCCTTTTGGACAGAGATGAAACTCTATGGCCGGGCTCACATGCTGGGCAGGCCTCCTGTGTAGAAATATGCAGTGATCAGCACTAACACACATTAATTAACCCTCCCACAAAGCAAATTGCTCACTAAGGTGGAAACACACATCTTCCTGAGTGTTTCTTGCAGAGCTAATTCACATTAACACCACAGTTAAGCTTTCAGTTTAAACTTCAGTGATCACACATATCTGACTTCACGGTGTTCATTTCCTGGGAGTTCAGACTTCTTCCTTTAGCTTGTTCTTTCAACAGTGTGTTCACATGCTTTCCTTTAGCGGGACCTATATGAATGCATGGCCAGTCTGAACTTATCTTGGGACAGTGTCTTTCTCCTTGCCCAGCTCTGGGTGCTTGGGAACAGTAAAGGAAAGTTTTGGTCTATAATAGATATGGAACCCTGGGCCTGTCTCCTCTCAGGTGTTGAGTGTGTCTCTACAGACCTGCCCAAGATAAAGTTGCTGGGAAAAAAAAAGGCCAGTGGTGAATATTGCTTATATGAGCAATTTTACCACTTGACCTAGTAATTCAGTTTCTAGAAACCTGGTGTGTCTGTGATTATGCATTCTTAGACAATATTACCTTCTTGTAAAATGAATTATGAATTCAAGCCCACCCTGATGCTTTAGTCAGAATTCAATTCCTAGAGTCAAAATTCTTTCCCACAAGTTTTTTTTACTTCCGGATTCTATTTCTTAATTTCTGAGATTTAGTTATTTTTTGTGTATCTTTTTAGGATTCCCACCTCCCATTCTAATAGATCTTTATATTCCTGAACAACATCTACTTGTAGATTTGAAGAGCTTTATGAGAGAGCCCTTGGGCTAATGAAATTCAGTAGCTGCATGCCAGCACTCAGGATGCACCAGCAGGCAGATCTCTATGAGTTTAGTGCCAGCCTGATGTATACATAGTGGGTCAAGGCCAGCCAAGGGGACATAGAAAGACCCCATCTCCAAAAGCATAAATGAAAATAGTAAGAATGAAATATAAATAAATAAAAAATCAGCAGATGTGATTAGTATTCTAAAGAGGCAGTTTGAGTGACATTTCATCCTTATACATATTACTCTTACCATCCTTCAGCCATCTCCAATCTCAGCTGTCATGGTATCATGAAGCACTTGCATTAATATGAATATGAAATTAAGTAGCAGTTTACAGGAACTGGGGGGATTGTGCAGAGGTTCAGAGCACTTGTTGCTCTTGCAGAGGGCCTGGGTTTAGATCCCAGCATGGTGGTTCACCAACATCCCTAACTACAGTGCCAGGGGATCCCTCTTCAGAACTCCAAGGGCACCATGCACATGTGTGGTGCACAGTCATACACCAGACAAAACACTCATTTAAAGAAGCTGCAGCTTACACGGTTTTGACTGAAGCTGTTAACCATTATTTTACAAACTAATTATGAATGCGATATGATGGCAAGGCAAAACAGAATTCCAAACTTTCCACTTTGGAAAGATGATGGTGAACTCTGCCATGGGAGAAAGAAAGCACATCATGTCGGGGAAATGCTCATTCCTTTAGCTGTGGTTTAATGCATGTGCTGCACAGGGGTTCTGTCCTCAACTGTCCACACATCTGGGCAGAGCTTTGTCACTCCTTTTGGGAAGCGGCTGTAAACTGACACCAGCATCTGTCAACCACCATGTTAGAAAAGCATCATAGATGCAGAAACTTAGCTCAAACATTAACAGATTGATTCTGTCCTAGACGTGACAACAGAGTGATGGGGTGTGCACATAATCGTGGGTACTTGGGAGGCTGAGGTGAGAGAAGGTTGGAGGCTGGAATTCAGGTAACCCTGGCCAGAGAGAGAAGGAAGACAAAGGAACAAAACTGCTTCATTCCCTCTAGGGAAACATTAAACAAACAACAACAGCAAGAAAATAAACCCAGAACTCATGAAGGTTAAATATTTATCTAGAAGAACCCACATTCAGCACTGAAGGAGCACTCATCTTTGCAGGGCTCCTGCTCTGGAGGAGGCTATCCAACGTGAAATTCCTTCTCTTGAGCACAAAGGACTTCAAGCAACTCAGATTCCAGCACAAGGTAGGGTGAGCCAGGTTCATACCAGCATCTTGCAGACCCATTTTCTTTCTCTGTCTGTCCCCATCCCAGCAATAGGTCCTGGCTATTGATCTGGGATGAATAGAAGTTGATGGCTCAACCCATTGTCTCGGGTAAACCCTAGAGAGTTTCTGTTCCTCTCAGACTTGTTGGCTCCTTGGTATCTCCACCGCCTGTTCTCCCAAAGGATGGCAGCTGAGGACCTGGACACTGCAGGAGTTTAGTGAGAACAAATGCTTGCATTTGTTTGTGGGATGGGGAAAGGTTAGGGGTGCTGAATTATTCTTGGTCAACAACAGAATTCCTAGGACCTGGGTTTAGCCCTCAGTGCCACAAGCATGAAGTCTTACCTGGTAGCTCTGTGCACTGACAAATTAAGCTTGGTCTAAGACTGGCTGGTGAGCAGGGGAAGAGGGGTTTGTGTAGACCTCCAGAGCCCCTTGAGGATGCCCCATCCACTTCGAGACCTGACCCTACAGCAGAAACTGAAGAAAGATCTCTACACAGAGAAGAATGAAGTCATATCTCACACTAAAGATACAGGAATCTAGAAAGGGACTAAAGAGATGAATTTCAGATCCCACAGCTGGGGTGCAAAGAGGAGAAGGTCCAGAAGCCCTGATCTCTTCAGGGGTCAAAGACTGCATAGAGGCTAGGGGACACATTCACAGCAGATTCACAAATCCAGGAGAGGCATTTGACAAAAATGTTAATGTCGCTAATTATTGACATGCAAGAAGCACAACAAAGTATGATTTGCTCTTGTCACAATGACTAGTTATTATGCCAGAGAGACAGCTGCATGTCCATGGCCATTTTTGCATGTTTTAAAAAGTCAAAATATGAAATCATGGATAGCTGAGAAGCAAAGATTAGGTTTTACACATGCAGTGGACTGATATGGAGGAAGGAAATATAGTCTGTTTTGAATCATGGAAGAACCCGAATGACAACATGTTATGTAAAGTAAGCCAGGCACATAAGAGCAAATCCTGTATAAATTCACTTATATAAGGAATTACTGCGAGTGATCCTGCTCAGACACCCCTTGTGGGAATGAGTGAGAAGATGCAACACCAATGGCAGGGGGGCTGGGAGTCAGTGAGAGCAGAGCATGCTGCAGGCCTGCCTTCATAGCCCCGCCCAAAGTCCCATTGACTCAGGCTGCTGGCTCTGCTGCAGTGTCCTTTCTCATTGGTGTCTCTTGGTCAGGTGTCTCTTAGCTGTCTCTGGGCATCGAGGCAGGCTTGACTCAGGGAGGAAATGCCTGCCACACATGCTCATGCAGGCTGGCCTAGACACCTAGCCAGGGCAACTGTGGCTTGGATAGGCTGGCTGGCAGTTTCTCTTACAAGGAATCTGAAAGCAAACAAACAAACAAACAAAAAACTGATATGATGGGAGCAGAAGCTAGGGTAGCATGGAGTAGGAAGTGAGTGAGCTTGCATGTTAAAAGACTATAAAATGTCTCTCATGTAAAAGGGGCATTGCAGAACAGAATGCCTACAGTAAACAGTGTGTTCTACTTTGAAAGCTACCACAATTAAACTTCATACCTGGTGGTCCTGAGGGTTGAAGCTTGAGCTGAGAACACACTGGGCATTTGCTCTTCTTTTGAACTCTATCTCCAGTCCTCTGGTTACTTTTTACTTGGAGAACGAGTTTTGCTAAGTTACTCAGGTAGGCCCTGAACTCATTCTGCATTCCAAGCTTGGCTTAGAACTTCTGAACTTTCTGCCTCAGCCTCCTGGATACTGGATTATAGGATGCACCACCAGACCTAGCTCTAGAAGCAGGTGTTTAGTGTTCTTCACACAAAAATATCAGCTTTATCATTTTTGTATAAAGTTATTCACATGTATATAATATGTACATAGTTCACATGTGTATTCTGCATTCTGAATACATTGCATTTATGTTAGTAAAAAAGAAAGGAAGAATGGAAAGATGACATAAAGACAAGCATTGTTGGCTCTATACTCACAACACAGGCTGCTCTTCTAGAAGACCTGGATTCCATTCCTAGCATCCACAGGGCAACTCACAGCCATTGGTAACTCCAGTCAGATATCCTAATGTCATCTTCTGTCTGCCAAAGACACCAGGGACACATGTGGTTCACAGACACACATGCAGGAAAAATCCTGTTCAAAAATATTAAAGTATAACACACAGAGAGCATACTTAAACATGTTCAAAGAATTAAAAATCTACAGGGCAGCTGGGTGGTGGTAGCGCATGCCTTTAATCCCAGCACTCAGGAGGCAGAGGCAGGCAAATCTCTGTTAGTTTGAGACCAGCCTGGTCTACAAGAGCTAGTTCCAGGACAGCCTCCAAAGCCACAGAGAAACCCTGTCTCAAAAAACAAATAATAATAATAATAACAATTAAAAAATAAACCTACAAGGCATAAGAGTCCTGAGCATCCACACTGAGGTAGCAATGCCATCCCAACTGACTCACACAAACTCAATTCCCTGGAGTCAAATGAGTTCAGTGGGGGTTACACCACAACAGTGGGCAGGCATGGAGAGTTGCTTTTACTTGATATTGGCCAAGGCACTGACCATCTTACCCTCCCACATGTCTACAGCTCTTCTTGTATAAGGCTGGTCTTTGCTGTCATCTGCATGTGAGTGCCCCCTAGGGTCAGAACAGCAAAGTCAGCTGCAGTTCAAAGCAACCTCCCACAGAAAAGTAGTCTGAGAAAACTGATTTGGTGGCGGTGGTTATGTTTTCTGTTTACATTGGGGCTCTTTCTTATTACTTGGTATTAATTCTGGTGAGCAAAGGGTTTCACTATGTCACTGTCACCCACAAGATGTCCCATGACCCTGGGGATCCCTCTTTACTCTCTTCTCCCCCTCCCACCACTGCTCCTCTCCCCACATAGTCTCCGTTGTACTTTGATGCCTTTAGAAGCTTTGTTCTGCATGGGAGAGTAGACACACAATGTTTGTCTTTCTGCCGCACTTCACTTATGCGATCCTGGGTTCCATCCATTTTCCTGCACTGGTGCATTTATGGCTGAATAAACCCTGAGGATAGAGTGAGGCTGCAGTAAGCTGTTTGTGCATATAGGCCATGTGCTCCTCATGCACTCACCTGCTGATAGGTCTCTTTGCTTCAGTAACTCGGATGTAGTGAAGAGTGTGTGTGTGTGTGTGTGTGTGTGTGTGTGTGTGTAGGTGTACAAGGTGTGTGCTTGGTGCCCTCAGGGGTCAGGAGAGGGTTCTGATCCTTGGAACTGGAGTTGCAGATGGTAGTGAGCTGCCGGCAGTGCAGTGTAGCAAACCTGAGTGCTCTGGAAAAACAGAAATGTCTCTTGACCAGGACCCTTTCTGCAGCCACCAGCTCTCGGCTCTGACAGGCTCCATCAGAGCTGACTTCTGCATTGTTCCCTGAGCTGGACAGGAAGAGCACTCCTCTCAACACTTTGAGCAGTGGAGTGTCTCTGTATCAACTTCTGATCAATGCAGAGAAGCTCTTCAGGCCACGCTTGGGAGGAGCAGTAATCCAAGTATACAGCCACCATGGGGATGTTTTAAAATCAGTTTTAACTTGTTTATTGATTTTGTATGTATTGCTGTTTAGTCTGTATGCATGCCTTGGCACCACATGTCTGAGCCACCATGTGGGTACTGGGAATTGAACATGGGTCCTCTGGAAGAGCCGCCAGTGCTCTTTACTGCTAAGCCATGTCTCTCGCCCTGCAGGATGGGCTGACATCAGCACACACTGCCCTGGTGTGGAAGGGTGGCTGCTCGTCCTGTAGTCTGCCATGTGAAAGAGGGAAAGGGAGACTCTACTGCAAGGTGAAGTTGCCTGGCTGGGATTCTGAGGACTAGACTAAGGATAGACACAAACCAGGGTGGTAACTTTGGGCAATAAATTCGTTAATTAAACATCATATAAAGGAACGAAACAGGAATTTTAAGACTACACTAATTAAATTTTTTGACTATTTGGAAAGGGCCAATACTACAGTGAGTAGAAAGGGAAAAAATCTGTAAACTGAAGTAAAACCTATAAAACCACTAACTCAGGGGGAATCGATAGGAACTGCTGTGTTAAACTAAATCTCAATCATTCAATTTTACCAAGAAAGACTCCATAGTCAGATGCTGGAGTGAGAGCCTTCTTTCTGCTACACTGCCTCAAACAATACTACTCCAAATGTGTTGGCCCCCATTTCTACTTCCTACACATCTCTTTCTCTGTCCTCCTGACTTGCTCTTTGTCTCTATGGTTTTATTCCTGTTAAGAGGCTTGCTCTGCCTCTTGACCTTGGTTGACTTTGTTTAATCCTGTTTGCAATATTCAAGCAGAAAGCTCTTTGATTAAAGCTGTGTACTAGGGCTGAGCCACACTAAAACTAGAAACAGGGTTTTCCAATAAAGGAAGCAGTCTTGGGTTTGACAGTGTGATCAAATACCATGAAACAAATAACTGAAAAATGAAAAACAAAACAAAGCCCCACATTATGTGGATTGTTATCAGGAAGGCTAACCTGGAGATTGTATTTGTTCCCAGAACCAGAGGTCAGAAAGGAGGTGAGAAATTATTTGGAGAAATAATGTCTGTAAACTCCCCAATGTGGGTGGAAGATGTGGATCCACGGACAATCACAGAGCCATCTGGTCAAGTCGAGTGTCCAGTGGACATTCTCCAGGGCAGGCAGCATGCCAAGCCAGGACCTTTGAGAGACTCCAAGTATGTAAACTAACTGATTGTCATGTGGGAAGGAACTAGGAAGCTGCTCAGAAGGAAAGTCAGAAGCACAGAGGGGCCCAGGACAGGAACAAAGTGCTCCTAAACAATGACACAATTAAGACTTCACATGATTAGAAAAGACTGTCCTGAGAAAATGAAGAGAGAAAATCTAGACACCAGAACATTCTCCAGCAGTGAGAGTTAGAATGGGAAAGACCTACATTAAAGGACAAAAGGGGCTATGGTGTGTCTCCTGGAGAATGTTTACCTGACAAACACAAAGGCCTGAGTGTCATCCCAACCACTGTGGGGAATGGAGACCATGGGACGTGCTCACACTCAGAGAATCAAGCCAGTCCCAGAAATCCAATCTCAGATACTTCCTGTCAGTTGTGATTCCCAGAGTTTATAGATTATACATCCATAAAACCATGTGTGTGTGTGTAGGACATGAAAGAAGTGGTGAGGTTGATGGGATGGGGACATCAAAGAAAGGTCAGACTGGAGAACATACTTAGTGTGCAGCACACACTTATGTTAAATATCCTTCTGTAGAGGTTGGAGAGCTGGCTCAGTGCTTAAGAGAAGTTGTAGCCCTTGACTTGGGTCAGATTCCTAACACGACCACCATTAACTCCAGTCTTGAGGAATCCAAAATCCTCTTCTGACCTCCATGACTACCAGGCATACCTGTGGCGCACATACATACATGGAGGCAAAACACTCACACACATAAAGTAATAAAACAAATAAGACTATTTGGGGTTCTCCAACAGGTAGAGCTGAGGGAGAACTGATCCAGCTGGTGACTCCCTTGGGGCTGAGCAGGATAGTGAGTGTTGACTATGACCCAGACCCCCCTCCTAATTACCAGGGAGAAATGCACTGAGTTGGGATACTTGTGAAAGCAGGATCTCTCTCTCTCTCTCTCTCTCTCTCTCTCTCTCTCTCTCTCTCTCTCTCTCTCTCTCTCTCTCTCTCTCTCTCTCTCTCTTTTTGGTTTTTACGAGACAGGGTTTCTCTGTATTGTTTTGGAGGCTATCGGTCCAACCCAGCCTGGAACTCACAGAGATCCACCTGCCTCTGCCTCCCGAGTACTGGGATTAAAGGTGTGCGCCACCACTGCTTGGCGAAAGCAGGATCTCTTTTTATTGCAACAGGCAGGAACTTATATAGGATTGAGGTAGGGGATGGGAATCTTAGGATGGGGTAAGGTGACATGAGGAGTAAGGGCCAATAATATTTCACCAAGCTGGCAGGTAGCCTAGGCAGGGGGCAGTCTTACAACAGTTCTTGCAGAATCACTCCCAAAAATAAGTGGCCAAACTCTAGCCAGGCTCAGGAGGTTACACAGGTCCTCACATCCGAGCCTTTTTATACCCAACAAGACTACACAATTATATATGCCCTTTATATAACACAGTGCCATGAATGGTGAATATACACAAAGAAGGTTATTAGTTCAAAACTATTAGAAGAGGATCAAATACAATCATGACAACCAATTTGAAAATTTAGCGAGCTCACTAGTTATTGTACTGTATCAGAATTGGCCCAGCAGTCCCTAAACAAAACATCATTCTGACCTTCACACTTTCACCCAGAGCAGCTCAAAGAGTTGTGCTGTGTTTTGTAAAGCATTGCTGGCTGTTACTGGTTAGGCCTATTGTAATATCTCTGTCTATTTTACAGGAAGCAACGTCATCGGGGAAACAGAGCGAGTGCTTGCAAAATGAGCATCATCCTTGATCAGGAGACTGACTATGCAGAACTGGTTCTCTCTGTAGGAGAAATCACACTTGGAGAAATGAGTAGGAAGTTAATGAAAGATACGCAACTAAGAAAGAGACAAGCTCAAATTATCTCACAGGCTGTGTGTACTCTACTGAATTCTGGAGGGGGCGTGGTCAAGGCTCACATTAAGAATTCCAATTACACCTTCACCAGAGATGGAATAGGACTAGAAAATTCTTTTCGTGATATTCTTCCATTTACTCATAAATACCTAGACTACAAACAGAACAAAGACTACTTTTTAATTTTTGTGAAACCATGGATCCCAGATATCTCTGGTCAACGTGTCCACACCTTGAAAACCAACTTCTACATGAGAAGTTTTTCATCGTCACATGAGCTGAAAGGTCCTGATGTAGTAAAGTTCCTGAAAGGAATGAAGTATTCTAAAGGGAGATTATGTTCAAGACAAAGTTTGCCTGGATTATGTGACTCTGATGAATTACAACCAGAATTTCTTGTCATGTTTTTTAACATGGAAAAGTTCACCTACAAGGAGACATTCTGTTTCACTAAATCCAAGCATGCTGAAGTTAAAATGTCCCCTAAAAAAAAGATTTTAGAGATCCTCCCTCAAACTGTTTCTGCATTTGCAAACACTGACGGGGGATATTTGTTCATAGGTTTAGATGAGAAAAAGCAACAAATAATTGGTTTTGGAGCAGATGAGAGCGATCTTGCACAGCTAGATAGCGAAATAGAGGAGTGCATCCGACAGCTGCCTGTCACTCACTTCTGTGAGGAGCAGGAGAAGATCAAGTACACATGCAGATTCATCCAAGTCCACAGACAGGGAGCTGTGTGTTCTTATGTCTGTGTGCTCAGAGTGGAGAGATTCTGCTGTGCTGTGTTCGCTGCAGAGCCAGATTGCTGGCACGTGGAAGGCAGCCGCGTGAAGAGGTTTACCACGGAGGAATGGGTCAGGCTCCAGATGGACACCACACCAGGTTAGTGAAGGGAGTTTAACAATCACTTTACATTTTGGACAGGGGTTTGGAAGATTTGTGTAACTGGGGAATGTTAAGACTCCTTATGTCTCAACAGTTAATTTAATGACCTATGCTAGATACAATCTAGATAGAATCCAGAGTTGACACCTCCTATTTCCTTCTGCCCACTTAGGCGATTCCCTATAGAAAGTATTGTAGCTGCTTTCAGTAATGCTATGAGCTATTTCCTTCATAATGGCCAACTGTGATACAGCCTGCATCTCCAGTGGCCAGGACTAAAGCAGGAAGAGGAAAGGGCCCCAACTCATAATTCCCCTCCAAGGTTTTCTCACCTCTCACAGAGGGTTAAACTGACATCCCTGCCAAGACACACACCACAGAACATTGAAAGTCTTCCACAGTCCTGGCCTCCCTGGCAGTTCTGTTTTCATCAGAAGGCTGATCAGCAGAGCCTGTCATGGACACTGTCCTATCTGCTTCCTGAACTTCTGTTCATCCACCCAGAGTCGCCTGTTAGTTCTGCTTGCCTCTTTCTAGATTATGTCTAGCTTGTTTGCAAAAATTCCTCCTACTGTGATGGTTGAAGTACCCCATCCCCAAGAAGCCACTGCATTGATCTCATTTTTCATTGTCAGCTTTCTGTGTCATTCATCTTTCACTAACAGTGACAGATGGTTTAGAAAATCAAGTTATGAAAAGGGAATGTCCCTTTGTTTGGGCATTTGGATGTGCTGGCCCACCATGTATTGTCTCCATTGCTTTGGTGCCTGTGATGACCCGTGTTCACTTCAGAAACCCCACCATCTAATCTTCCCCGTTGTCCTTTACCCCTTTATTCCCATCTACCCCTCTGCTTAAAACTCCCTCCTTCCTCACATTTTTGTACAAAAGGGAACCATACATTTTCCTCCAAAGAGAAGGAAATGCTGTCCTTTTATCTCCTTTGGAACAGGATTCTTAATGGAAACAAGCACCAGAAACTTACATCATCTGGAAATCAGAGCTCCCTTGTCTCCCCACAAACTCACTTCTTCACCAACCTCCCCTTCCTTCCTTCCTTCCTTCCTTCCTTCCTTCCTTCCTTCCTTCCTTCCTTCCTTCCTTCTAGAGTTAACTGCTTTTAAAAGAAGCCAAAGCTGGGGACATTTCTGAGGTGATAGAGTGCTTGCCTGGTATCCAGAAGCCCTGGCTTCTTCATTCACCTCCATTTTGTAAAATCATAAAACTGGCATGGTGGTGCACTCTGGCCCAAGGTCCACATAGTGATTTGTGTCCAGCATGGTCTATGTGAATGACTGTCGCAATTATAAAACACAGGAAGAAAACAGACCCATGTGATTATAATACATTACACTACTCTAGTGCACTTTCTGCTCTTACGTTTTCTGTAAGGGTAGTTGGAGCACTTCGTTATCATCAAAGCTTCATTTTGCAAATTATATTTGACCTCAAAATCTAACCCCATTTTCTCTTAGGAAATCACAGTTCAGTTGAGACTTTTAACACACCTTGCACTAGTTATTGAACACTATGGCTTGTGGAAAATTTTAAATAATCTTTTGTCTTCTCCGGTTTCTCCAAGGGAAAAGAAAAAAGGACCCTTCAATCAAGCATCCCATCACTCAGTCCCTATAGCTGGTTTCCTCATGATGTTCCAGAAGCCAGGTAGAAGGTGACTATGTCCATTCAAATTGCTGTACTGGATACAAGACTTTCAAAAACTATGGGTTTACACTGTGATTGCCATTCTGTGCTCAACAGCAAAGCCTGGCCTACCTTGTGGTCTCCTCTGAGGCATCCTCTTTCCATCCCTGGAGCTCCAGGAATGTGTTCTGCTCTCTCCTTGCTCTGTGGAGACTTGTGTTTCTCCATGCTTTCCTCCTGTCTCATCACCTCTTTGATGCTTCCTGATGTCTGACATTTCTGTCTTCAGCATTCAGTCCATCCATTGTTTCCCTGACTTATCGCATTCATGGAGTTGCCCAAGCTTCTGATGCCCCATGTTATGGAAAAGGTGGGGGTGTTATGTGTCGTCTTCCCTCCAGCTGCCTAGATCCCCACTGCTCTCTCAGACCCCAAATAACACATGAGACACTATATTAATTATGAAGCTGTTGGCCATTTGCTATGGTTTCTGTTTGGCTAGCTCTAACTTAATTATTAATCCATAACTGCTAATCTGAGTATTTCCACATGATCTTCTCTTACAAGGGAAAGGGTCTAGACCTCTTACTCCTCTGGTGTCCTACATCATGACTGACTGTGCCTGTTTCCCAGACAACTCCTCGACTCCTAGTCCCATCTATCTTGCTTCCCTATTGGCCAATAGTGCTTTATTCATCAATCAATTAGACATACATATACACAGAAAGATTTCCCTATCATTGGGATGTGAGTGTTCAGCCACTTTCAAGGCTCCCTCTTGGCAGAACCTGAGTTTCTAAGTTCCCCTTTCACCTGCCACCCTCCTGTTCTTGAATTATTATTGTTTGGTATCCTCTGTGTTCACTTTCTGGTGATGCAAAGTGGGGACTTAACTAGCTTCATGGTGATGACTCATACAGGATATTCCTGGAAGTTTTCTTTTTAATTTGCTATGTTTATTTATTTTTCTAGTGGTGTTTAGAAAGTTGACATGCTCTCCAGAAGCCCTCTGCATGAAACAGTTCTCAGAATTTGAGGGATATGAGCAGTTACTTTGGAAAGAGCTGGGCTCACTTCGTCAAGGAATGCTGGTCATCTCTAAGAACTGGACCTTGGGTCCTGGCTTGCAGAAGAAGAAGGAAGTCATCTTGGATGTGTTTCATATTTCCCAGGACAGACTCCTGACTCTGCACAGCTTTCTCCTGGGAGATGGAGAGCTGGAAAATGACAGCACTCTTCTGAGGGAACTTGGTGCTGAGTTAAAGAAGTATTGTAAACAAACTGCACTAACTTTAAAGCAGATGCTGGTAAATTATGGTGGTTACACAGAGAAAATAGGTGTTGTGATAAAGATAATGTACTTGTGTCATAGGGCAGTGTCTCTATATGATTCAAGCTTGATAATAAATTACCCCACAAACTATTATCTGACAACCAAGACAGTAAGGGACTTAGAGAAGGCTCTTGCTGATGTCTTAGGGACTGTGTATGGACATAAAAGTGTAGTGATCCGTTTACCTCTTTAATTTTAAATATATAGAGTTAGATACCTTAATTTTTGAGGAATGTCCTAGCTCATGTTTGAGACGTTTTGACATGGGAAATGGATTATGACGCAATGATATTTCATGTTCTGTAGGCAATAATGTTCTCTCATTCGATAAACATATGGAAAATGTGTCTTTGAATAACTTCACAGGAATAGAAACGAAATTCTAGGAAAGGGATTGCTCGTTAAAGAAGGCAATGATAAAACAGGGCTTTCAAAATATGTCCCTGAGGGGCTGGAGAGATGGCTCAGTGGTTAAGAGTACTGGATGCTCTTCCAGAGGATCTGGGTTCAATTCCCAGCACCCACATGGTGGCTCACATCTGCCTGCACCTCCAATTCCAGAGGATCTGATACCCTCACACAGACATACATGCAGGCAATACACCGTAAAAATAAATAAGTAAATAAATAAATAAATAAATAAATAAATAAAATATTCGCCGGGCGGTGGTGGCACATGCCTTTCTTTAGTCCCAGAACTCGGGACGCAGAAGCAGGCAGATCTCTGTGAGTTCGAGACCATCCTGGTCTACAAGAGTTAGTTCCAGGACAGCCTCCAAAGCCACAGAGAAATTCTGTATCGTAAAACAAAACAAAACAAAATGTGTCCCTGAGGTGGGGATGCAGCCCATGCCTTTATTGAATCGCTTGGAGGAATAGTGGTCATCTTAGTCTACATAGGAAGTTCCAGGAGAGCCAGGGCTATAAAAAGAGACCATTCCTCAAAATAAATACAGAAATAAAAAAAAATCATGTCTTAATCTGCATAGCCATCCTTCTGGCTGAGGAAATGCATGGTGCCTTTAATCATGGAAGACACTCATCTGAAGAAGTTAGTGAAGAAAATGATGAAGGTGTTATAGGCAACATTTTGTCACAGAGTTGCTGCTCAGCTGCCTGTGTCATTGCTGTTACATCTGTGAATTGTATATGACAAACCCAGGAAGGACTTTCCACTTGTCCAAAATCACAGAGGCAAGGGCTGGGTATGCTGAAAGTAAATGCAGATGCTCATAGCAGCATACAGTAAATACCGGATGTTTCCAAAAATGTCAGAGATACATAAAAACAAATACAATTGTTTATCTAGCTTGAAAAAAAACAATGTATCTGTTGCTGTAAGACTTCAAAAGGTCAACTTTCGGTGGAAGTACTCTCTATGGGGCTATACTATGTGGTCCAGTTCCCATTTGAAACATTGTTCCCTTTTGAAGTCTTGATTGTGGTTTTAAGAGTTCCATACTGTTCTTTTATGGTTCATAGTTCGATGAGTAGGCTTTATATTCGAATTCTAGTATTGTCTGTGCTGTAGACGAATACTTGTAAAGGTATTTACAGCACTGAGTTTATATGCGAGTATTGTGCATCAATTTGAAATGTTGGTGCTTCCTTCATAAAGGAAGCAATGTCCTTGCACATCTTCATTTGTAAAGGATAAAATTTCTCAACATTTGGACCCTAGGGGTGATGATATGTGCAGTGATACCTATTGTAACTTTGGATGGAGCTCATCAAAAGGCAGGTTGACCATCATGAGAATTCCTATGACAGGGGCTTTGGGTTGGGGGCTCACACATACCAGTCATCCTAAGCCATGTTTTCTGTTTTCATCAATACAATTTATTTTTAAAAATCTACTTGATTTTTCATCTATTTTTCTTATATCTGGATCTTTCTGAATACAATTCTTCTGTTTGTATTTTTCTTTCCTTCTTTTTTTGTATCTTTCTTTGATGAAATTTCATTGTAGTATCTGGGAAGTTATACTTACCAAAATTTGGATGCCAACAAAATGTTCTGCCAATTTTTTATGTTTCTAAAATAAATGATCATTTCAAACTATCACCAGTGTCTTTTAAATGTTGTTTTCCAGAGCAATAGTTGTAGGTTTTAGATGTTTTGATTACTTGGGAGTGTGGTTTTCAGCATTGTGGCTCAGATCTTTGCAGACCAGGGAAGTAAAGAGGACATGTCAATATGTCAGTATGTACACTGTCCTTGAGACACCCTGTCTAAGCAACAGTCCTAGAGGACACCCTACCACTCTGTCATTACCCACAAGCAGCCCTGGGTCTGAGTGAGGTGCATTAGAAACTCTTGGAGATGGAGGCAAGATCTAGGATGAACTCAAGAAAGTAGGTCAGGAAACATCACCATGGTCTGGAAATTGCTGTACTGCCAAGGTTGTGGGAACTTCTGGGAGGTTCGTTAACAGATAATTTGATAAAAGCATCTATTTATTTAATGACAGCCTCTTTGAATAACAGGATGGGGGCAGTGTTGATCTAGGAAAATAGGAAGCAGGAAATAAAGTAAAGAATGGCTCTAATTGTGTGGGGAGGAGAAGTGGACTGGGAAAGGACAGTGGAAGTAGTCATGATGACCTGCTTGACTGAAGGGTCAGGTTTTCAGGCAAATTGGAAAAACCTCAATGAATGAATGATATGGGGGGGGCAGGGGGATAGTGAGAAGGCTCATTGGATGTGCTACCTTTCCTGAGGACCTGAGCCTCAATCCAAGGGATCTAGTACCTGGAAAGAAGATTGGCTCCTATCATTTGTCCTCTGAACTCCACATGGTGCTGTGGTACATGAACACCCATCCCAGCATCTACACACAAATAGATTCACTGCTAATTCTTTAAAGAGAACCATTTTAGGGCCTGAAGTGATGTCTCAGCAGTTAAAAGTGCTGACTGCTCTTGCAGAGAACCTGAGTTCTATTCCCAGCACCCACATGGTGACCCACAACCCTCTGTAATTCCAGTTTCAGAGGATCCATTACACTCTTCTGTCCTGAGAGAGCCTGAGGCATGTGTGTCCATCATATAGATACATGCAGGCAAACACTCATACACCTAGTGTCAAAATAAATTAACATATTTTTGGTCTTTTTAATATATTTATGTAGATTTTATTTCATTTAGAATTTACCTCTCCATCCCTGCAATTCTATTTCTTAAAAAGAAAAAAAAGTCCATTTTAAATTGAATACAGGGAAGACCTATTACATCTACTTAAATCTGTTTTCCTAAAAGAAGCCAGTCCTTACTTATTGTTGTTAGATTGCTAGGTCTGATGTAAATTGTAAAATTAACTTTTGAGGGTCCTGCAATGCTCTATACTTGAAAGGCAACAGTGAAAATAAACTAACAGCAGTGAGCACATTGATGACATATTTACGTATTGATCAGGTGTTTGTTGGAAGAGCACTTGCAATCAGGACATAGGACATTGGTGAAGGGAGCTGAGCTGGGGAGACGATGGAAGTGGATACAGGCATCTTCAGTCACTGGGTGACTGTCGCGCTTCATATTTTTCCTGCCTTTAATTCTTTCACTGGCAGAGAAAGGGAATCCCACAACTCTCCTAAACTGTAATACACGTAGAGGTGCTCTGGGTGAACTATCCAGGGGGAAAGAGATCTGTGCCTCAGGTAGGAGGCAGAAGCAGTTGAGACTTCACGGCTTTTGGCGCTGTATTAAATGTGTTTTCCTCTGTGAGATGACATCAACTTTTGGGACCTGGGGTAGACTGCTATAGTTTGCATCTTGAGGCTCACTCAGACTTCCACTTCATAAAAGTGGCATGCAGCATGCCGTGGGGGTATACAGCAGATGACAACTAGTGTTCAGTAAGCTGACCCACCAAATGTATGATTCTCTGATGGGGAGCCCCACCTGGAAAGGTTATAAGGGTGCTGGCTGTAGATAACTGTCTCTGTCTGTAAGTTTTCTCATGAGCCACTTCATTTCTTCCTTAAGAACAACTTTGGGTATATTCCTACTACTTGTGTGTTTATCTCATGAATACATTCCAGCTATTTGGGCACACATAGCTGAGGATGATCAGGAAGAAGATTTCTGCTTAATGTATAATTCTAATGAATAGAAATAATACTAGAGCCGGGCGGTGGTGGCGCACGCCTTTAATCCCAGCACTCGGGAGGCAGAGGCAGGCGGATCTCTGTGAGTTCATGGCCGGGCTGGACCGACAGCCTCCAAAACAATACAGAGAAACCCTGTCTCACAAAACCAAATAATAATAATAATAATAATAATAATAATAATAGGACAGTCTACATTACTCAGCCTGGCATAGGATTCTCAGTCACAAAGACAACCTTTTACACAGACAGCTAATTTTAGACTCCAGAACAAATTCAAAGCAGGCTCGTTGCCCTTGGAGACAAATACACAAGATCACTATCCCAGGTGTTGTTTGTTGCTGATTCAAGGTCAGGATAGAAGCAACCTTAACAGACATAACTTTCCTGCAGTAATTGACTTTTGCACATAGTCCCAGCCTCAGTCTGGGAATCCTCACCCACTTAGAGCTACATGGTTAGCCAAGCATTACTTACTGGCTGTTCAATGTGACATCGCTGGCCTAAGAGAAACTATGTGAGTTACCTTGTGTTATGAAAATGTAACACATAATTGCCCAGAGTTTGACCTTGACAGAAGCAGTGGTGGTGGGGACAAGGAAGCTGTGTAGGGCTATGTAAGAGCTGTGCAGACTGAGAGTGAAGGGCGTGTGTGTGTGTGAGTGTGTGTGTGTGTGTGTGAGAGAGAGAGAGAGAGAGAGAGAGAGAGAGGTAAAGAAGAGGCGTGAGCAAGTGTGAGAGAGTGAGAAAAGATTGAGTGGTGTAGAAGAATTGTGTGTGCTGTGACTGGGAAGGAGAGCAGGGGAAGGGTGTGGAGACAGATGTGGAGAGATGTAGAGCTAGTCAGAGAACCTACTGAGATGAGAAGGAATGTAGACCTAATTAGGAAGCTGTGAAGAGATTTTTCAGAGAGGATTTTTTTTTCAAGATGAAGTAAAGAAAAGTTTACCATCAGAAAGCATGTGTGTTTTCCCATTTTTTCTCCTCAGTAGAAAAAGTCTAACCTTTACATAGATAAGAACTTTTCCTAAGCATTTGCTGCATTTTTTTCATACCCTGGTGCTGACTGGGGACTGCACCCCCTCCCCCAGTCATTCATACTCACAGTGATGCTAATTGGGGGTGGTAGGATCATTAGGGGATGTTCCTAATGACTCTAAGGAAAATCCCATACTAGTGTAAACAGCACGCAGGAGCTTGTTGTGTGGTCTCACCAGATCTTGAAGGGACTTAGGGGCCTCTGGCCTCTTCATCTCCTCACCCTGGACCATGAGATGGAGAGCCTTGATCTTTCACAGGCTCACTGCCTCATGTGCTGCCTCCAAAAGCACCAGGTTCCTTTGGTCACAGACAGAGACCTCCAAAGCTGCAGGCCTACACAACTGTCCTTCTCTCCATTCACGATCTCAGAGCTTTGCCACTGTGACAGATGCTGAGGATCACATGCAGGC